AATTTGAACTTCAATTTCATTTGCCGAGACACTTTTCTGAAGACACAAAAGAGCGCTCGTATGCTCAGTACTACAGGACAGACTTACATACTTCAGGATTAGCAGCCTAGTATCGTAAATTCCTTGCAACATGTTGCATGCATACCCGATGATGATGATGATGATGAACGGTAGATTCTCGAGCACAGCTGATAGTAACCATGCAACCGCAATGAAATGTTCTACTGATCGATAGCATCATTAACATCGCTTTATTGTATTAGCACAGTGCTCGATAATCCCTCAAAACATTGGAAGGAATAGGTAAAATTGATCTTTTATGAATCCTTTAGAGTATGAATCTTTAAGAGAGGGAATATCTCGATGCTCTTGCATTGAGGGATGTAAACGGGTATTAAGACTTCCTCATAAAGTCAAAAGAGCAATACATTACGCACGTCATTTGCAAATCACCGAATTCGTCATCAATTGATATTAGCAGGTTTGTGATATAAGCTGCAGTTTATGTAAAAGTAGCACATTTTCTCAATGCAGTTTTCAATATTAATTTCAATATTGAAATATCGAAATCAATATTTTGGGTGGAGGAGATAGGAACAATCATTTATTTGAAAGTAGTTGCGATTTTTAATGGTGAACAGCTGTGGGTGACGACGCTATTTCCGTCAAAATTCATGAATTTAGCCCTCTTTCTAACTTGCGAAAAGACAGAGGCTATGCCGCCAGCGTTATTTTCTTCCCTACCTGAACCTTTGACTCCTCTACCTACTTACCTAACCCTCTGATATAAATTTGAACATTTCTGCAACAGAATAACACAAAGTGTAAAGTGAAGGAAACAGTAATAGTAGCCGTCCAGAAAATCGAAAATCCTCTGAATGTATTCGCTGCTTCCCCGCTTTCTCGTTTTATTTCATCCTTTTGGTCTTTGATGACTGCGCTCTTCGACTGCTGTGGCTGACTGATTAATACATGTGTGTAAAGCTGCCCCCTACATTCCGAGAAAGAAAAGTACAATGCAACAAAAGTTTTCTTTCTTTTTGAGAGTTTTTATCGAAATAAACTGAGATGGTCAGAAAGACAGAAGAAACGGCTAAGAATCCGGAAAAACCAACAATCAATGGGTCGATCGGCCAGTCGTTCAGTTAGTCAATCAATCGATCAATCAGTTGATCAGCCACTAGTCATCTATCCAGCAGGTTAGTGAATCAGTTAGCTAATCATAAGAAATCAGCCAGTGGGAATAAAAATAACAGAAAGGAAAAAGGGACAATGAATTTGATTTGGTAAATAACGGAGGAAATAAGTGGTATTGGTTATCATGCATTTCACGTGCATCTCAGAAACCTGTTTAATTGCAATTCCATCCGCCTCTTCTCTCCCCTGCCCTCTTTCCGTATAACGATGTATACAGATCGACTATCACCGACAGAGTTAGCTGCTACACCAGTAAGAGCCTAACCCAGCCAGATCTCTTCTATACTTTCTTGCTCATTCTATTACTGTAATTTTGGGTCGTTAGCATTTTGATTTATGGCAAGGAAGTTGTTCACTGTTTGTTAATGATCACTCTGTAACAACGCATTTTTATGATTGTGCGACTACAGAAAACCGATCTCCTGAAACTTCCGGAATTCTCCATTTTCAGATTCACACTTCTCGCTGTCTCTTATTCATCTTATCAAATTTAAGAACTGATCCTGTCTTAATTACACCTCACGAAATACCAAGAAAATGCGGAGGAAAAGAAGTTATACTGGTGACAACAAAAAAATTTAATAAATACAACAGCCATCATTATAACACCCTCAAAAGATATCCCATATCTTTTATTCACCAAAAGTTAGTAAAATAATAACATAAACTTCAGGATAGCCGAAAAACCAAAATAAATGGTGATTGTCTTTCTTTCTTGTATTAAAAAATGAAGTATTAAAATTACAATCAAAAAAAAAAAATAAAAGAGAACCAGCTAAAATTGGACACCAACAAAAAGAAGTCAAATAAGAAGTCCAAACAAACATACTTACCTGACCTAAAGTAACAGCAATAGAACGTATATCCTGAATAGGTATATAAAATTAATAGAACCTAATATGTCTAGAGATAACTGTGGCTCTCTCCTCGGCGGCTACTCAGGAAAGTTGTATGAATATTGGGAACCAAAATGGAAATGAAAATGCTTGTCAGTGGGATATCCCGAAAGCGTGTATTCCCGAATTAAAAAAGTCAGATAGTTTCGCTCATTTTTAATTTCTTTCGGGGTCATAATAATGAGAGTTGATGGAATTACGAAAGCGAGGAGGAAGATATTGGATGATGTTATTATGATGTAAAGCAACTCGTGATTTCCTAATCAAAAAAAAATTAGCAAAGGAATGGGAAATGGTAGTGATGTAGTATGAACTGGATAAACAATCTGAGATGGTATATCGTGCTCTACAAAGTTTTGCCTAACCTTTGGAGTCACGTAAAAGATGCTAAATTGGCAAAGAGAATTCTAATCTTCATCGTAAAGTGGTTACCAAGTTACTTCTTGTAGTATATATTGATTCTACAGTGCTTGCTATTAACTTTTCGTTTAAATTTCATCGTCTAAAAGGAGCAAAAGCATCGAATTGTTTATTACAAATGTGAGTATGTTGTGTGTGTGAGTGCATGGGTGTTTTTTTGACACAATTTTAGATATTGTCATCACTAAGAAAAGACAGAAGACAAGACATCCATCGATATTGTCACTTCCAAAGTAATTGATGGTCTCGTGGAGTGAATAGGTGCAATCTTTAATGCCTTATTTGAGAATTCCACTACCGCACCACATTCCTGCTGTTCTCTTGGTTTTTGCAATGTTCACTGGTTTCATTTCCATATCCGAAAATTGCTGATGTAAGGGGTCATTTTTGAATAATAATTTGAGATGTCCTTGTATTTTCCAATTTGGCTTTTAAATGGGCCGGTCGATCACCAAGCCTCAACTGTATGATCAACTTTGTTAACGGCAATTTTCTAGAATTTCTGCAATATCAACTGTGCATTGCTGTCAGCGATGTTTCTTGAAAAATGAAGCTTTGATGCACCACGCATGTGTCTTGCAAACCAATTACAAATATGTGTTGCATTGTATATTTGTATGCCTGTGTAGATGTGGATTTCTTTCGAAAAATAATAAGTAAAAATGGCAAACTCAGAGAGAAGATGAATCGGCCGTCATATAGTTTCAAGTAATTGTTCCGATGTTGAACAATCGGAAGACAACTATTACGTATGAAATATATTATTCAATGGTCAGGAAAACTAGAAAGCATACAAAAATGCGTCCAAGTAACTTTTCCGTGAGACCAGTAATCGCGAATCCACCATAAAGGGAGCGAAGTTAAAGGTAAGATTCCAGGTTACCCTGAATTGTAAACATCTAAAAGAAAAAATAATGCAAAACTTTCTCATAATTACGGAATCGGATGTGAAGATAAAGTAAAAATTTGGACTGATTATTTGATATATCTATGTATATTTATATATGTATATATTTGCGCCCCATATAAAGTATTGGCGTGAAGCTGAGATCATGCAAGCATGCGACAATCTGTTTAAGTGTCTTGTCTTTGCAAGTCTCATCATAATTTCATCGAATTTCGTTCCCTCAACCTCAAGGTGTAATAACACATATCAGGTTAACATTACAATTAATAGGAATGAAGGAAGCAATGTTCTTGCTATAATTGCTATCACTGGAACAGCAAGTTTGAGCCCACGTTACGCTTCAAAGCTCCTTTCTCCCTTGCCCATTCTTCAGTCTATTGACGACTTCTGTCCTTTTAATTCTGAACTTTCTCAAATCTCATTCTGTCAAGTTTTTTTTTTGTAAACTGTTAATTGATTGAGCAGTTTCTGCATTCACGAAAAATGTGCATGTTTTGCAATGTTCTTCATAGTCAGTAATCTTATTTGCTAAGGTATTTACTATAGTATAGCCAACAAAATCAAAAGTAATAAACTACATCGATTTTGTTTAAGTGCCACTAGTGGAAGCTTGAGTTGATTATCAGATGCCCAACAGAACTTCTGTTGCCCGCACTAAGGTTGAATTACCTAAGCTTGGACTGTTTAATGTAATGAAGTGAAGAAACTTAAAAGCATCAAATACAATTCATGTGGCTTCAGTAAGGAAAAAAGGATGACATGTGGGCAAGAGAGAGGGTGAAGTGAGTAGAACAACATTCATTCCAAATGGCACACGTCATTCATATTCACTCCCTTCATTAGCTTGAATCAATTCAAACCATTCATTCCTTCGTTCACCATCTTAACGTCACTGCGGTATACACATTTCCACTTTCAAAACAAATGTATTTGTTGTACAGATAAAAGAGAAGGTTCGAGAAATGAATGGGATGGTTCCTGGAAGAGTAGCAACTATCTCACACTTCACTTCAATCTCTCACCTCACTTACTTCTCTGATCTGTCCTTGCAGAAGCCAACTGTTTATAGTAGGCAGACACTTTGCTCCACTCATCCCATATCTCCCTTCTTTTTTCGGCATTTTCACTAAGTTTTTAACAAAATTTAATTCCGCCACTCCTATAGCACACCTCACTGTGTCACCTGGATAGCCTTACGTGACACCTTTTCCTGAAGGTTCACTGCCATTTAATGGCTTTTTTTGAAAGAATCAGCACTGGCTTCCATTGCTCTCCCCTCTTTCATTAATGTCATTTACCATTTATCTATCCCGTCCCTTCTGGGTATGCAATAAGGTCTCTGGTAGAACGAACGGCTTAACCACTTCCTCATTCCGATGTCTCTGGACTCAGCACATCCCTCACTATCACTTTAATCCTTCATCATCTCTCTTTTTCTCTTCTCCCTCTCTATGTTATTATTATTATTATTATTAATATTATTGTTATTTATTATCATTATTAATTATTATTACTAAAGCTGTTATCATCACAACAATCACCTCACCGCACCACCTTTTCCCTCTACTCCGTTGGGACCAATGCAGCTTCACGCCTTCCCTGCAAATAGCGATTATATCGGGGTGATTAGTGAAGGTGGTGCGATTGGAACCACCAGTGGTTACCCAACTTGTGCCACAATATCATACGTACACACACATACATACAAATACACATATATACAGATGCGGACAGACGGTCACACACACAGACAGAGACAGACAGACACATATATAGGGTCATCGTCCGGGTCCACTGAAATGTGAAAAGGCGTGTAAACCTGAGCAGCACTTGCAATGCTCTACGAGCAGTCAGTGATTGAGTCAGTCAGTCAGCCACCATCACTACTCGAAACGTCCTGCCATGCCTATATATAAGAACTACTCGCTTATTTACATCTTTCTTCATATAGGTGCGGAGGACCGCGAGCAGTCTGCCAGCGGTGCTCCTGGCAGTTGCAGTTGCTATAGGAAGCACAAGAAGCCCAGCCTATCCTATGATATCCTTACCTCACCCTCATATGTATGTGTATATATGTGTGTGCATGTATGTGTATGTGTATGTACGTACATATGTCTGTATGCGTGTGTCTGTCACCATTTCTCGTCGACCGCCAGCCTTAATTGGGCAGTTAGAACGGCATTAAAACCCAGCTGAATGACGGCTTGTAAACACAATGGCTTGTAAATACAGTGCTCTTTCCCAGGAATCACAGGGAGGAAGCAGTTGTTCTTTGACTGTGTCAAGTTGCTCGGTATGGCTAGCACAGCTGTCGTTCATCGGTTCTTCCGTTGTAGATTGCTGATAAGATATTGATATTATTGTGATTCATGCATCCATGATTGCATAGCAGTCATCCTCCTCATTAATGGATCATACTCTGTTATAGCATATTTCACCGGGTGATTTCTTTTTATGGATCGGAGACATTCGCCTTTCTGTTTTTCACAACTTATATCCGCAGCGCAGTACATCGAAAAAGCACGGAATGTTCCGGATACTTGCCTCAGTATGTCTTACCCTTTTTCGCATTATTTTCTAAAATGAGATGAGTTTATATAAGTTATACCGAAACAGGAGACATTGTTACGATGCAACCTTTCGGCCAAGTTGGAGATAGTGCCTTAACCAGCTAGCAGCCAGCATTTCCGTTTGCATAATGCGTCCAGAATATGCCACATCATATTCCTGGGATGGTTAGTTGCAATAGCGGGAAGAAATGTTTGGAAATAGTTTCGAATTTGGATTTAATTTTCCAGTTAGCGATGAAAGCAGCGGCGATTCATTCGTAACCAAAGGGGTATTAGGACAAAGTACGACATGTTCCATTGCGTCCACGTCATCATTGGGATGTTTGTCGGATCGAAGCTCATCAATCCCATCACCACGACATTTTCAGACACCTCCACCAGAATATAGCAGGAGACATCGGCCATATCCTTCTGTAAGCAGTGCACGTCATAGCAGGTTAGTTTTAACATATTCAAAAGGAAGTGCATTATTGAAAGGTACAGCACGCACGTTTGCGCGCACTATAACCTGCATTCACATATAATGCTTCTCCCCTTGACATCATTACACTGCAGAACTATATGCTTAAGAAAATAACGCTGCATCTTTTGCGTATTTATTTGCATGCCTTAAAGTATTTCTTCCTAAAAAGAATACAGTTCCAGCGAGAATGTGTAATTTTATAGCTTGAAATGGCCTGCGTCCCTTTATAATTTCACATTTCTTCATTTCCCGAAAGACCATCATCATCATCATAGTAAATCGGGACAAAATATGCTTCTCTTTACATCAATTGCAAAAACACTAAACCTGCAAAACAAAGCAAATATGCATTTAATGCACCCTACTTTACAAATGTTTTTGGGTCTGCCTTCTCGTCCAGTCCTTTCAACTGCATTGCACGTGCTTCACTGCACGCATATTGTTATTGATGGCACGTGTGTAAACCGGTTCTGCCTTCTTTTCCTTCAAAACATTACACATTAGATTGATACATACATCACATGCATGTGTACGTACATGCACGGGCAGACACACACATACGCATACACATACATATATTCATGCATACATCCATCTGAACATAGATACATGTAATAAACTTATTAAAGTGATTATAGTGATTAATTCATTCACTCTCAGAAGTTTTACTGGTAGACGAGTGGAGTCACTTTGAGAGATTTCTCGTCCCCGGTTTCCCGGAATAATCGGACAGCTTCCTTCTACTTTTACTCAATATCGGATTTTTTTACAGTTAATCCTTTCTTGTTCAGCAACCCCCTTATTTGGATTAATAGGAGTCATGGTATGGAAAGGTAATTCCTGCTCAATCTAACAGTTTACTGAAAGACAAAGATTTTTCTGCTTTCCGCTCTATTTGTGTTATCACATCTATATGAAGGGGCCTTTTTAAGAATTATTAATCGCATTCTGATCAAAACAAATAGGGTATCAGAAGTTGTATATACCTAGTTACCTAAGAAAGTAGGTAATTAGATGGCTACGTCGCAAGGCACGTATAAATAAGAAGCCCACAGTGCACAAGTTATCCAGATAAATTTGACAGGTCTTCCCAAATTTCCTCATCAGTTTGTTCGGGTTTTATTTTATTTTATGATTTTATTTTATGCCGTACAGAAATTTTGGCGATGTATTGGGTATCTATAATGCTGAAGATGTACAAGTATTGCTTGTGGCTCAACAGGTGGTTTAAACGGATTTGGTTTGCTGGCTAGCGAAACTTTTGATTAGACCTGTGGATAAACAACGTAACGTACAGTGCATTTGGCGCACTGCATGATCAGTTCGAAAATATGTGTAAGAGATTATACATCGATGGCATACAAAATAATTGCCATCGGGAACTAGCTCATTTCCGCTTACGTATGGTTCTGCTGTGGCATATTCATGCATAAAAAGCGGTCGGTGCATAGAAACTTCATTTCTAGTTATCAAGTCGTTTTTGTTTATGAGTTATCCAGGACTAATATTTCGATTCCTTGCTTTTCTATGACACGAAAGTGAGATGCCTTTTTGCCAACATACTGATGTTACACCTGGAAGAAATACTTTAATGTCTGCTTCTGTCGAAAGATAGCTTGATCTGAAATGTTGTTGTTGATGTTATGTTCAACACACTTGATTGCATTTTGCATTACAGAGCCGCCCACAATGAATTGGAAAAGACACGTCGCGCTAATCTTCGTGGATATTTGGATAACCTGAAGGATATCGTTCCTTCTAGTTCCGACAATGCCCGCAATACAACTCTCTCTTTATTAACTCGTGCTAGAGATTATATTTTGGTCAGTTCTTCATTACCCTCTCATTGTTGTATGATGTAAAATAATGAATATGGCAAACTCTTAGATGAACAGATGAATTAAGCTATTTTTGGGGTGATTCGTCGCTGCAAACCATTGCATCACACATGTCCTATTCTCCATTTCGCTGTTCGCACTAGTGTTTCTTGTGCAGTCCGAACGGATCCCGAGACTACATTTTGAGAATGTCGCATTGTTTTTATCATTCATCTCTTTATTCACTTTATTATTATTTATTATTTTTTATTTGTTATTTATTATCAATTATTTATTATTTATTACTTGTTGTTGTTATTATTATTGTTATCGCTATTGTTATTGCTATTGTTATTGTTATTGTTATTTTCAGGAATTAGATAGACTTGTAAAAAGTGCGGAGGAGCGGAAGCGGCAGTTAGAAAAACGTCATTCGACTTTGCAACTAATGCTGGAAAGATTGCACCCTGAAAAAACACTAATACAGGAATCCCGTTCTGAAAGTGCGAGTACAATCTCAGCAGTTGACGACAACGATTATGGTACATTGTCATCATCTGCCTCTTCTTCTTCTTCAGTGACATTTTCTGATAACACATCATGCTTAGATTTTGGTTCTAAATTGTCAGTTTCATCAAGTAACTCTTCATTAGTTAGCTCTCCCGTCCAGCCATATCCTCCGTTCGATCCTTATCTCAATGGACTACTTCCAGCATTACCATTGTGTTATCCCCGCATTTCTATGTATCCTTACCTCGATGTGCAGCCCCTGTGATTATGCTATATTGTTCCTGTTCCTGTTGATGTTGTTGCTGTTCTTAGATATACTGTATCTGAAGAGGAGAGTTTCGTGATATTTTTCGAGAACATTCGAATTCAATAAGCTCGTAATAATGAACTACAATTTAAACAATTCAAAATTCTCGAAGTTTATTTTCAGTCAGATAATTATAAGAACAGCAATTGCTTAATTTAAGCAGCAACGATGGGTGATGATAGCTGTATTTGTAGTATATTTTTCATATGTGGTGACTATTATTATACACTGTTTTTAATATTGTTCGTGGAATATAACTTTAAATGTCACTCTCAGTTTTTGCATGTCGTAAACCCTCATAATATTTTTGTTCCTTGCAGCGCATCCAGTACGGGAAAATTCAACAGTGAATCTAAAAACAGATAGTGATAGAAATTTAATAACACGGGTCATCTTAATTTAACAATGTTGAGATATCGAAATCAAAAGTGGGTTTACGGGACTTCATTGCCTCTTTTATGTCTATATTTTGTTCCCTTCTTTCTTCCTTCATTCACTCGTCCAACGACAACAGCATCCTACCAAATTTGTGACTATATATATTATATTGGATATTGGATCAAATTACTACTGAAACAATGAAAATGAATCATATTGCTCCAGCGGAAGACTAAAAATACTAACGCTCTAGGAAACAGCAGAAAGAAGTGAACCAGCAGCACGAAGGATAGTGGTGGTAAGCTGTGGTAGATTCAAACTGACTCACCGACTATCATCGATTCCTTCTCAAATGCCAGAATTTCTCTTTGTAAATTTAAGTCAATGTCTCTCTGTGTTCCATCTTTCAGCATTGCTGATTTGATAATGGTGCGAACATTCCTGTTTGTTCCGTAGCCGTTATGGTCATCTTAATTTGGTCCCTCACCTTACAGAAGCTGCATTTCTCTTATTGTTATTGTTCATTATGAAAATATTGTTATAAAATTTCAAAAAATATTCTAATTAATTGGACTGGAGGAGATCAGTGCAAGTTCTAATTTACAAAAAATACCCACAGAATTGTCGAAATTATGATACTGAGAGGTGTTTAGGGAAAAACTGCTATTATTCCAATTTCATTGCTACTTCAAAGCTTAATAACACGAGGATTTGAAGGCCTTTCTCATGGCAACATCTGACTTTATATCCGATGATAAAATAGACACTTTTGACACTTTTGATTATATTCTTTTAGGTTGTCGAAAAAAATAAGGTATGAAAAATATGGCAAACTGGCCTCCTAGCGAAGTATATGATTTAAAAAAATACATGATTGTATAGCTCAATTCATAAAAATGACTGTCGTACATTTTGTTAAACTCAATTTAAATAATTCGAAATATAAGCTATCACAATTGCTTGGAATGTCCAATTACCGTTGACAGAAGAGCTTCGTTCTGGTCGCGGCGAAGAATTGCTCATGAACGCCCCATTGATAGTGTAAAAGCGGACACTGGAGAGATTACTCCCACGCAATTTTCAAACAAAGCTGAGATGAAAAGAATTCTTGAGATGAGCGTAACTTACGTCGCACAAAGTTTCGAGCATACATTGGTAAATAAGTTGAAATTCATTGCAAAGAACACGAACTGATCTTTAGCCCTAATTGAGCACCTCGTAGCAAAGATCGTCTGACTATCAGATCCCACTTGATTAATGATGCTTCTTTCGTAAACGGCCAATTGTTTACAAGAAAGTAAATAGCCAACTTCTCATTTATATGCCTCATGGCTAATCCTTTTTCGCCTGTAAATCCGTGGCTACTTCCAAGGACTCGATTCCATTGAATTTTCAAAAGATGTGTTTAAATGAAGCTCTTTTGCAGTTTTAAAAGTTACGCATCCTATATTCTTTTCTGGAGATTCGGTTTGATTGTACATCTAAGAAAACAAAGCTTTATAATTTTTAAACTTTCATTTCTGGTCCTTACGATACTTAATGTTTCATTGTATAGGTAAAAACGGCCTAAACTTCAAATATTACTTGAAACAAACTTTAAATACATCGTATTTCATGCATCGAAATCCTTGAAAACAGCAGAACCCTGCAGAAATGTTTTTAACATTCAAAACTTTCTTTAATGCATATTTACATATCTCTTTAAAATTTTCGTTCTGTTCTTCAAACTTGTCCAGCATGAAATCAGATTAAAAGTTAATTATTGCCGAGTACTTGATAAACACGAAAAGTGGGATTTTCAAATACTAGCTTGAAATAAAATTTCGTTTCATTATCAACATAGCGTATTCGATCACAGAACCGTTTCTCTGCATCTATTTCTGCAATATAATACTCGGTGATACAGAAAACCAAATTTGCGTACCATGCTAATGTTCTTATAAGTTCCATTTTTTAACAGAAAAAACATGCAGCAAAATGTATCAACTTTTTCAATTCTATGATAGAATCTAAGGATTGAATAGCTTCCCAAGATAGAATTGTGTGTCAATTTTCTTTATAATTCATATACATACTTACAATAAGTTACAATCAAATCTCACTTTTTGGCATGGCGTACTCCGGCATATCACCATTGGCAAGATCCACCAGATCTTTTGTTGAGCATCCCGTTGAGGCAGCCAAACATATACTGTCTTCCAATATAATGTAATCTACCTTATGAATTGTCAAAATTTCATGCATTTCGGCGACAGTTTTTCGACCATACATCTGAGAAAAATTTTAGTACAACGACAAGTGAGTTAGTTATTCTTTTTCCAAAACATATTTCAAATATTTAAGAACAGCAAATTCAAAACTTTACATCAGATTCGTACAGTACCTAACCTGGTAAAGCTGTAATGTCCGATCACGCAGCCACTTATCTTCAAAGTGTGGATGATTAGCCAAGTATCTTCCTGTGCAAGCTTTTACTCCAGCCATCAACTGCATACTTCCTGCCCATGACGTTAAAGGTCGCGTTGACCTTTTGATCCATTCCATCAACGCAACAGTATCCGGATCATAAAATTCCTGAATTGACACTTAGTTTTTGATCGTCGCACACATAGCTCACTTCTGAATAAAAATCATTCGGAAACAAAGTTTATATAAAGTGAGAATATCTGTACGAATGCATAAATAAAACTCGTGAACTATACTTGCTCATTCGCCATTTGTTCCTTATAAATACCATAATGATTGTATAGCAAAGTTGTGATTGTAGCTATTACTACTACTTGAACAACAAACCGTCCCGAGTACTTCGAAATCCTGAAGTACTGCAGATCTTATCCTACGTTTCTTTACTCTCAACAAAACAACTGCTCAACTACCTGAACTTATTGTTTGTGCGTTATTTTTTCTTACCATTTATCTTCAAACAACTGCAACTCATATGCATCTCACAGATTACAACTATTTAATAAAACATTTTTAAATAAGTTTCATTGCTTCTCCACACGTACCTTAATATGAATAGTGAAATATTGTAATGTAATAAAGAGAATGAAGCCTTACTTACATCACAGGTAATATGCATGCAACAAGGGCAATTTGCGGGAACCAAAGGTACTTCATTCGGAGAGTAAAAACAGCAATTATTCCACATAACATTGACTGAATGACGATAAAAACCGTTTCTGGCCCAAAATGATCGATAAATGCAGGCACTACAAGAATGTATGCAAACTAAGAAAAAACTAAGGATTCTCTTATTTAAATCAATAATGACATTACCAGATCCTCGATCACAGCATTGCAGCGCAACTGAATATATCGTCATCAGGGTAACAATGAGTATTGATGCTGTGAACAGCGGAAAACAACCATTCAGCGATGTTCGCCGAAAGAAGTCACTATCGAGATAAGCGAAAGCTCCGTGACACAAATATAACGCACTTTCGAAGGGTACTGAGGACCTAAATAAGGCCAATTTTTCAGAGCGACTAGCACTAAACGAAAAAAGTGTAAAATTATCACTATATCGGAAAGATACAAGTTAGCAATCTCTGTATGAAAAGTCTATGAAAAGTTAATACAATATTGTCATATATATATTTGATTATCCAGCCTCAGTTAATTGTTACCATTTTCAGCCCCCTTCATATCAAGCTTCTTCATATTATAATTATATTTTAGTTATTCATAATGTAAGTCTACAGTAAATAGAGATAAAGTGAACAGAATTGCTTACCAAATACAAGAAAATATAACTACCTGGAAATTAAGCCAATTTTAGCCTTTACAAAAGTCCATACATGGGTGTCAGCTTCAGCACCTACAAGATAACGAAGAAACCAGCTTAGCGATAGCGTTAATGCAACGATACAAACAGACTTCAGCAATATTATACTCAGTCGACCCCTGTAATTTTGTCATAAATGGAAATAAAAGGAATAGTAGCAGAAATAATAAGGAGATAGTGGAAACATGCTAAAAATAAATGTATTAACATACACTGACCACTTTCAATCAGTAAAAGGATTGTTATCCACTGCAACAAACCTTTCAGTTTTAGTTGTTAAACGAAGGATCACAATGGAGCTTAAATTAAAGGCCGTACAAATGGAAGCAATATTCATTGGTTGGCCAAACTGCGCTAATACAACCAAGAAAAATGCTTGTGACTGCAGCAAGAGAAGCGAAATAATGGTGGATGATAGATGAGGTATAATAAGACTCATTCCAACCAGAGATATCGACTGTAGCACCAAGATGAACTGCAGCTGTTACGATATTATCGACCCCAAAAATATCATTTCTTCAAATGTTCAAGAAGCTCACTTCTTCAATTATAATGTAGTCTACCAGAGAGCCTTCACGAAAAACTGTGATGAAGAAATCACACCTCACTACAACAATTAATCGAGCAACCGAAGCGTTTCAAACGTGAGCCATCACCTAATCTCTTTCTTCAATTCCACTTTCTTCCTTTTTGATGGTTTTATTTCAAAATTTGAGCTTTTATAGCATACCACAAAGCCATATCATCTTAACCTTGCAGTGACCCTAAAACTACTTTTTCTATTTCGGCACCAATATTTAGTCGTACGATAGGAAGAGAAATCGTTCTCACCATATAACAGAACGTCGAAAATAACTACTAAAACTCTCTTCATTCTACGCATATTTTGCAATTTCGACTTATTTTGCAATTTTGCAATCACGCTGAATGTCGATTAAACTATCAGGATTGCTACATAGCAAAACAGTAGTGAAAAAAAAAATGCAATACAGAGAAGTTACCTGATTAAACTGCCAAAATAAAGCAAATAGGAAGGTGGAGAAGAAAAAGATAAAATAGTATTTTTTGCAAGCAATATTGGACAACCGCAGTACGATAACAATGCACGCGTTTTGCAACCAGAAAAACGGCAATGCAAAATTTTCCCGCAAATTAACAGTGAAGAAAACTCGAGTGCTATCATCGATGTTTGTGAGCATCCATGTGAAAACAAGCAATCCATAGAGCCAACTAAAAAGTTTTCATTTGAATTTGCTGCATATTTTCGAAATGTAGAGGCTGAAAAAAAAGAAGCAAATAAAAGAAAATGATTTGCCTTCCGGTTAGAGCCCAAGCAAGAAGAAACAGTGTTGTAACGCCGAATCCGGCAAAAGCAAAGCATGAATAGACATAAAATAGGATTGGTTTAGGTAAATAGTAGTCCCGAAGCAATCGAAACGATGCAAAAAATTTGTATAAAACAGCGAGTATCAACTCTTGGTAAATGTTGAACCGTTCGAATACGTTAATTTGACGAGGGAATTCAGTGCTGAAACGAAGTAATCAATTACCGATCCACCAGATGTTTTGAATCTAAGTTTTAGAACTTACTGCTTGCTTAAGCTGTTGTCCAAGATCTAGCAGACGAATAATGAAATACTATGCTTACCTGTTATCATGCATCAATGCATAAATTGTGCTATTAAATGACATCTGGGGATGAACGGCAAACTTATAATAGAAGTAATAAAGACCGGCTTCAGTCCTCAATGATATCTCCTGTTCAACTTGCTCGATATGCGAAAACCAAAGTTTCGTCTCATGTAACTCCTGCATATACCTGAAATAGCTTATTCTTCCACTACCAATACAGGATCCAATAAAAGTTATCAAGGAGAAATGGAACCTACTTTCCAAAAATGAAACCACATAACAGTGTCACCATAAAACCAATATAATTCGAAAGACCATCGAAATTTAAATTCAGTCGCTTGCTTAGTACTTGATAGGATGACAACGGAATGCGTTCCGCTGACTTGGAAACTTCGTAATCCATTTAATCGGTGTCAGAGTATGCGTAAAGATACATAGAATGAGGCAGTATTTTATCAGTGTTGAGGAAACAAATTAATTGAAAAGCTCCTGAAATAACAGCTTTCAGTCCTAACTAACATACTGTATCGCATGGTCTCTCTAACACGTATTTTCTATAAAGAATTTATGTTGCTTGTTAGTCGCCGAACATTATCAAGTTGAAAATTCAAAATCTACAACACGAGTGTGGTCAGCTGCGCGCATAGTCAGGGTCATCAAAACTGAATATGCAGCTACAATCAAATTAAGTGGTCCCTCTCGATAATAGCATCGCTACCACAAATTATTTCACTATGATAGACATTTTCCACATCAGTTCTGGGAAATAATGGACCATACAAATCATCTTAGTCTCTTTGCATGGATTCAATATCGTCAGACACATCAAATACGAAGTTCTCGTTAAAATAAATTAAGCCTCAGAGATAACGACTCACCAAACTGAACCACTTCTATCGTATCATATGATACGTCGACGCCAGACAGAGAAATGTCTCCCCGTAACAAAGACCACCAACATTACCATCACCTATTATATGCCCACTTTTAATGAAATCTTTCCCCCACTCCATTTAAACCCTTATTGCCATTGCACAAGACTACATATCAGTTTTTTACATGATCTTCAAAAACTTAAATTACCAATGGAACCAAGGTTCTATGAACAAGAATGTAAGAATTCCGTTTTGCGCTTCTCGTTTTTATAAAACAAGTTCAGGATGAGTAAAAAAAACTAATCCAATTATTTGGCACAAAAAACTTGCTATTAGACGTCTTTTAACGATTTATAAAAAAGGCGCGCTATACTTCTTTTTTCGTAATTTAATCATGAGTTGAACTTCTTTACAAACTAATGAAAATGCATTCATTATTTAATAAATGAATAAAAGAAAAGCGGAATATAATATAAGAACATATCAACACAACAATAAATCAGAATGGTGGTTGATGAATTGAAAAGATGCCATCTGGAACCCTTTTTACGCCCACAAAAAAACTTCGTTCATTAAACATTAAAAGAATCTAAGCTTCAACGTAATCCATCTGTCTCATCAAATAATGCGCTGTCGATTCAGCAATAGTAAGCAATGGATGATCTCGAATTTCACTTTCTTCGCGTCCAATACTGACTACCTGAAAAAAATCAACAAATCATAATTCAAACTATGAGCATATGAGCAGTTTAGCACAATGATCACGCAAATTGGCTAGGAACTAGACTATTCTTTTGCTGTTCCGAACTCGGATATGATACCTTAAAATGAATAGTATTACCAAATTAGAGCTAAATGAATCGTTTTTAAGAGTTATTAAGGGTTTTGATCTCGGACTTAAGATTCAGTATATATTTTTCTAAAAAACAAATGGAGTCGAAATAACTAAAAAGAAGAAGAGGAAAAATGAGAAGAAAAGGAAACAACACGAGAGAGATGAGGGTTCTAGTCTCACACTTCTAGCCTCCTTACCTCTGTTTTTACACAAAAGTGACACAAGGCAGCTAATTAGCTAGTACCTACTGTCTATTCATCATTCTCCTTTCCATTAATAATTGTAATGACAACGAGATCTATCAAATACTCAAATAAGTTATAAGAAATTTGTTATATTCGCCCTATATTATTATGATCTAAAAAAACACCTGGTCAATGTTTGGTAGACGCTAATGCGTTCATTACCTTGCAAGCTGTGCTGTTTAAATTCGCAAATAGTTCTTATCGTTGCTAGTCTTTATTATCTAAATACGCGTACAAAGGCAATCCCTTATCTTTTCTGGTTCAATAACAGAATCCCGAACCAACAGCTGCAAAAATTAAAAACTAACTCACCTTGATGATCTTATTTAATTCCTTCCGCGCAACGGCATTTTTAACCAAATCATCTAAAGCAATATTTCCTCCCTTTCTTCTTTGCTCATCACCATCTTCCTGCAGTAATATCATTTCTTAATAGAAATGACATTATTTATATTTAAACTGATAACAACTTCCTTCTTATGAAAAACGACAGCTCTTACACCAATGAAAACGGGTAATTACAAAATTACGGACTTACAATTCCATTTGCATTGTGGTCTGTTCCATGTGACAATTGATAACCACAATTTCTCAATGCAAATCTTACTTTTGCCGTAGCACTCTTTATCAATAATATTAGTGATCGCTCCACAGCTGGAAAAATTTTCAAATCATTTGATTATCACGTGAAAGCGATCTTAACATGCAATCAAAAAGTTTTGATTGAAAAAACTAATAAAACTAAAAATAATTATGAACATTACTGAAAAGCAGTTTATCTAAATATAAGACACAGTGTATAATAAGCGTATAGTAAGTTTTTTAAAAAAAAAATAACTTGTTTTCAAAACCCGTGCTACATAACTCTCCTTGTGGTCATTCAGCACTTCTGAATACTGTCTGGTTTCGGAATGTTGATAGGTTTTCTCAACTTTCTTTCCTTCACTGCATACAATATCAACGCTAAAAAAAATTTCAAAAACAAAGAGAAGTCAATTAAATATTTTTTTCAAACTAAAGTCACTTCCATATCTGGAATAAAACTAAACTTTGCAAACATACTCTTTCATCCAGATCTCATTATCTACTTGAATATAACACAGATGAAATGATGAATTACTTTTGGCGCTTATCCGAAGGACGCATCAACGATAAATGAAAACTCCCAAATAACAAACCAATAGCGGATGATGCTTTCAGACCAAATCCACTTCCACGTCTGAAGCACAGGCAAACGTTCAAAATTCATCAGCTTGTTCAAATTTTAATCTCTTTCTACTTGATATATTGACCACTTTTCTTCAAACTCATAAAAACCAGCCTCCAAAAAGCATGTTAAACATCTTATCATGATAATAAACCTATATACAAATTATATACGTCAAGTTCCCGAGTATGCCTTCCAAACTGAGACAAACTTACGTATCAACCATACATTTCGGATCATTCACCGTATTATGCAGTTTAAATATTGATTTGCAACGCAGATAGCGATAGATATTCCGGTAGTATCCAACACCAAACAGATCAAAAATTGGCTATAAAAGTTATACATGGATTAAATTGAAGTGGTCGGAAATACAAGATGTTGCTATGCATGACCAGATCACATCTTGCTATTTAGTGACACGTCCAAGAAAAAAGAAATGAAAGGCTTTTTCTATAGCACCCGAAGTGAAGGAAAAGATTCCAGACATCTAGCATAAGTAAGGATAATGAAAAGTGGGTACACAAAACGCCTCTGATGCAGTAAAGTTTATGTCTTCAAAAATGAAAAAAAAAACCACAAAAATTAACCCGAGGATTAGTGAACATATTGACGTCTCAAGCCGATTAACCACAGTACATTATAACGTTGCCAAGATCCAACGTTTACCAATATCATCCAACTGAAAACAAAAAAAGACAATAACACATCTTAGGAATAAGAAACTCGAATAACAAAAATACAAATAAGAAATGCCCATACCTATACAATAGGTCTAACTTTGTCTTATTTCCATTTAATCCTGCAAACGTCCACATAAATTGTTTCTCATTTTTTTTTAATACCAAGTGTTCTCAGTCCTTGTTATAACATATATGATGCATATTTTGCAAGTTTATCAATTCATCATAACATGCACGATTTCAACCGTATCAATTCTTGCGACTCTCGTAGTGATAGGGATTCGAATTTCACAAAGATGATGCTAATAATTAACAAAATTAAAAGATCTCCCAGTAACTTCAGCCTGGCTCTACACAACGCTAATAATCTGGACGTCTACCACTTCAACTAAAATCTTACCTCCACCTTTCAGCCTTTTACTTATTCAAAGAAGGAACTCGGGACTTCGGAAGAAGTCCAAGAAACTCCGCAGGAAGTAAAACGAGATCAATTCAGCCAATCAAATCTGAAACATTCCAAACAATCAAAACATTAACCGACTGCACAACACTTTTATTGGTCCACTGTGCAACACTTATGCAACTAACTCCACAAATTAGGTTGGGTGACTGGACGGACGAAACTTGTAGTGATTCAGAACAGTGGTAGGTAAAGACTGTGCTGTTGAGTATAGTTGAACAGGATAGGATGATAGCTTCTGATTGCTTATCTGCTCATTTGGGATTTTCTTGACTCCAATATTTTTTCGAATTAGGTTCCTTGCAAGGGACTTCTCAGGGATATCCCATATTTTTGATATTCTTCTCTGGTTTCATAGAAGTTTTAGTGGACCGAAACCTGAAGTTTAGCGTAAATTGAAATTTTATGGGAATTTGGACACAAAAGGGAATATTTTCAGCATTAGTTATTCCAAAAAAAAAAACCCATTTTCTTAAAATGAAAAAACTGGACAAGAGCGTGAAAATGACGTGGGAGTTTTAATAAACAAGAGGAATAGTCGAACTGTTTATATCTGTTGACTCAGATATAAACAGTTCAAGTATTCTGTTCTTGGAGTTAACACGCAACAAAATAAACCTTTAGATTAACAAACATGCATAGCGCTGGAAAGTGTATGAAAACAGTTTGTGGAACGGATATATAAGATACTACTCATCTATCATGAATTTTTCACTTCCCCTCATCCATGAGCCTACTTTTCCATCCTCCAATTATTGACTTATTTACTTATTCTACTGAGTTGACAGCAATGAGTCAGGTTTCACGGATACGATAACAACATGTCATTTATAATAATCTTTGGAAAGAAGTTCAGAATTTTGACCATTAAATCAGTCATGCGCTGTTGACAATTGGTAATGCTCGCTCTTTGCAGATCAGCATCAGCACCGTCCGCTTAACAGACATGTCTAGAAAGTACTTCGCCAATACCTATTTACCGTCAATTCAATGCAAGAGATCTTTTAAGGATAGTGGAAGTTTTTTTACATCCAAATCTCATATGGCACGGACACCTGAATAATCACGTAATTGTGAGCAAAGTATTGCAAGGAAAGTTCTTAAAAACAGACCGTCAACTTCTTGTTAGATGTTTAATTTTAGTAAGGTAAATGGCAGTGGAATAGTTTATCGACAGATTGATAACCTGTTCAGGATTGACCATTGGACAGCTATCTGGCTACCAGTTATCAAGAGTGAAGTGAACGCGAACAATGGAGATCGATCAACATGGTAACTACATACTGCAAAGGTACCAGTGAAAATCAATCTCACTTGTCCTACTTCATGACGATGGCGGCTACGGAATGGGATAGTGACACTACATACGACGGCATTAGTCATTACAGTACATCTCGTGAATGATGGATGAAAGCTAATATTGCCGGTGCCATAGAGATGGGCTCGATATGACTGGTCTGTGGATAGATCATCTATTTGAATTGAAAAGGTACTCAAGTAACCTTGAAAACTTTTAAATATCATTACCGAACGATTGCAAATTTGATTGACAGCAGGCGCTCTATGGGTCATTCCGGGCTGAATTATATTTTGGTTGAAGCAGTAAAGTAACAAAAAATTGCGTCTTTTCATTTTTTTTTAAATGAAATTTGAATTTAGGCTAAAACGATTTCCGGATTAGTTATTCGTAACATCTCCCAGTTCTATTTCTATGAAAATTAAACTGAAAGATCAAATACGGTTGGATTCGGCGGCGTCAGCTTTTTGATTATCTCCGGAAAGTGAGGAGGATTTCGTGAACCATGATTGGAATGAAAGCAAAAAAGTGGGATTAGCTAAATGTATGGTGATGAAGACTTTTATTAAAGACTTCCAAAGACGAAATTGCCATTTCCGAAAAAAGGAGATGACGTGAAGTGACATCGTTTTCCATAGAGAGACGAGAATTGGTGAACTGAGAACCCAACGGCGACAAAGCATGAGAGACACGCCGGTAAGGATGTTGGATGAGGAGACTATGACAAACGTCCCCCGCTAACACATTAGGTGGACAGAGCTGGGGAGAGTGGGAGAAGCGTGAAAGATAGATAGGTGGGGGTGGAGAAGAGGGAAAAAAGGAAAGTTTGGAGGACTTCTTGGACGATCCCACCTAAACCATGGCAAGGTGAATCGGAGTCCAGCCCCTTTTGGCGGGACATTTGCTGAATGACCCATTGCCAATCTTCGGATATTGGTCGATCTTTTATTTGCAGAAGCCTATTGTTTGCATGTCTGAATGATGCTATCGCTCGCGTTTTCTCGCGTATGATACAAGAAGGGTTACCCAAGGGACGGATAACACTGACTGCATTAACTATCTTCATTGGCATACCTCAATACTAGCCATAAAAACACCTACAGTTCCTGTGTCCACTTGCACTTCCTTCCGGACAACAATGCATTTTGTGATCAGGCAAGCAGTCATCTAATGAGGATGAATGTTGCTCCATATGACCATAGGTCAGATGAAGCAACTCTGAAATGCACTTATCGAGGGGAGGGGGGGAGGGAAGAAACAATGCTTTAAATTAAAAGAGAGATTGTATTAAGTCAGGGGAGAAAGGTACTTTGAATTCTCCTTTTTTACGAATCTCTGGCTTCCATTTCATTCTTATCAAAGTAAATAAATCTTGAAAATGGTCATCAACATTCAGATAAACGGCGCGGTAACGAAAATGAAGTGAACAGTTAGTTACGTCTGCCAAGTGAAGAAGTGTAATCCCAGTCAACATTGTCGAGAAGGTGCCGAATAATGCAAGTCCTTATATATCACCCATGCCGTGAGATAAACCAGGGCAGGACCGCACCCAACCATCAATGTGTTTATTCTGAAAGCGGAAATTTGTTGAAGTGAAACGATAAGTAGGAAGAATCGGAAACCGTTTAAATGGTGGAAACGACGGAACAATGGATACCCTGTACTTACATCACCTCATGCTAAATTGGAAAAATGAACTGCCCGCTAAATATGCCGAGAGACCGTATGATGTCCTCTATGGAAGTGATCTGTATTACTTATTGGTAGGTAATAACTTCTAAAATGATGATTACTTGGAGGGAAATGATGTGGAATAGCTGGACTTAGTATCCGTTGATATCACTGTAATGCCGAGAGTAACGCATTAAGTCTAAGTGGGAAAAGGTGTTTTTTAATTTCGAAAGGTTGAAAAATTACGACGCGTGAGGAGAAATGTTTCTATTTCAATAAAGCCACATTACGACTTTCTGAAACGAATTGTTACTGATATGTTGTTATCACTCACCTTTCATAAGAATTACATAACATTCCATTACCATATTATTCAAAGTAATTTCGTTAAATTATGTTTTCTTATTGTGAAAGTTTTGCTGACGTTCCCTGTTAGTGCTTCACATGACATTTCCTTTAACCGATATGACGGCCTCACCTTTTACGTAGCGCGACAAAAAAATCTAATTTTCTCTCCAGCTTAAAAATTTAATCTGCATTATCATTATCAGCATTCCAGCTTTGTGCGTTGTGCTGTTAACGTAAAAACATCAGTGAAGAACAAATTCATTTATCTCCAGCTATTCCGTTTTGTCCACCTTGTCCCGCTCCAATGAAATGAATGACGGAGCGAATAAATGTTTTTCTCAGAGTTTTTCTTTATGAAAATTTTTAACATAGTTATTTTTTTTTAGTTATTTAATCAGAAAATCAAAGACCTTCAAATAAAGTTCGGTTAGAAGAAGTTTAGTAAAAGCTATTGCAGAAATGCACCCACAAACAAATGAACAGATAGAGAAATAAGAAATCCATTTATTTTGAAAAGTTGGTGAATTAAAAACTAACAGTCTCCCCGAAGATTGATTGAATGAATGGTCATAATCCCTAACCTCTTTCATCATCTTCGTGCATGCGGATTAAATAATTGTGTCAGGAATCACGAAATTTTAGAAGGAAGTTAAAAACATCATCCTACGCGCACTTAAAGGGAGTGAACTCCAATTCACAGGTCATTGGAAAATTTTACCTACTTATCTTCATTTTACAGATAAACAGGCATAAACAGTCATGTAAGTCATGTAAGATCTCTTTTTTTGTGACTGTTTGGCACATTATCCAATCCTTGTCCTAATCAAATCCTAGAATTTGCAGTTTCTGCAGCCCAGCCAATCTTCGGCCTACTTTGGAAGACTATCAGTTTTTAATCCAATAACTTACCAAAGTTAGGGATGACGAAAAAAGAAAAAGCGCAGTTGAAAAAAGGCATTTCTCAGAAAATCAATCTCATTACTTTTCTCTTACCTATAAGCTTTTCGGCTTCAAACTTTTTTAATTAGAGCTTCAAATTCCTGTTAGTGAATGTAGAGCATCCATTTGAAGGAAATTTTTACTGAGATATATTTATGAAGGCATTTGGAAACGCTTCATGTTAACAGAGGGCCGTGAAGAAATTTAGCAAAATGTATAAATAAATGTAAGTCATAAGCCTCAGCGTCGGATGTTACCAAGCATTTCGTGTTTGCCTTTCCACTGGGATTAAATTACTATTTTTGATTACGTCCTCTCTGATGATTGCACCCCCGGTAAAGATGCAATCCGAATTCTCTAAGCTTGCCACTTCATCAGAAAATAGTTACTATCACAAGGAAAAACGACTCGAGAGTTTAAAATGTATAAAGTTGTGAAATGAATTTCAAGCAGTTTTTAAATATTGCCTAATTTTTCTGAACAACAGGAAGAGAAATTTAGATTGAACAGTAGTGATCTCTAGCTAAGTGTCACAAAATGTTGTTGTTAAATCCTTTTTTCTATTTATGACAGAACTTTAAGAAATAAAATGTCCGGATTGAGGCTCCTAACAAAGTCCTCTGTTTTAAAACTTGTTGCACTAATATTATTTTGTGGCTGTTAATCTCAAAGTGAAACTGCTGAGATCAGCAACTAATTGTTGGAATGTTCGGTACCTCAAACTGCTCGCCTTTCCTAGCCATACCATAAATAACTGTCTTCTTATAATCTTCCTGTACGCATAATATATATATATATATATAGTTTTTTTTTTTTTAAGTAAAAAAGATTAAAATTAATTGCTGTATGGCAAGCTACTTTCTTGGTCCCAGAATCAACTATTAAGACAGTCATGCTCTCTAGCGAACTTCATCCCAGAAATCAGTTTATAAGCTTACTTAAACAAAAGCTTGAACATTAATATCGCATGTTCGAAACAGACTTTACAAAGCCAATTTGCATAAGTTTTGCACCACTTTTCTTCCTTCTCTCGTTACCGCTTGAATACGTTGTAAGTGTCCAAATTTACCACAATTTAAATTGGTTCACAAGCTGTTCAAATAGTGCTACTTCTGGACGACAAAACGTTTGAATGAGGGACCAAATTATAGGAAAAATGAAAGTAGAGGAAGTTTTCCGTTCCACAATTCATTTTATTTGGGAGGAGTATAGTGCAGAATAAAATTTATATCCTTCTTCATTTCATTTGCATCCAACTCTTCAAATTCGCCTTCTTTAGTACTTTTCAGAGAAAAAAACGAGTCCACTACAGTGACTTACCTAACAGTGTCGTAAGCATCATATGCAGACTTGATTTGTATTGATATGCTTTGCGGATGCATATGTGTATTCATACATGCAGCTAATTAATGAAGATTAGGAAGATGATTTTAAAAGAAAATTATAATATATTTCATTTTTCCCATCGATAGTCCGTCATTTTGCCGAGGAGTAGACATGTAGTTGTTACCAGCTATCGTGTATGGACAACCTTACCTCTTCCATCTCTTTCAATCTTCCACCGTTCCCTTCATCTCCCCTTCCACCTCTACATCAGCAACCTCTTCAAATCAATTACCAGAAACTGATTTCCACCTCCAACGCATCGCACTCACCCTCCTTTACACGCAAACAGTTTGCAACTTTTTTTTACGAGCCGAATTACACTGGTCATCTATGGGTCGATTTCAGAGACTTTCAGTAAGTTCCTTATTTTCCCCAATTTATCCGATAATAATGATAAAAAACTCCTGAAAGTCATCATGGGACTTGCGGAAACTTTCCTGCATACACACACATATGCATTTTCCACTTCTCTCTCTGTCTCAAAAATGGGTGATAAAAAGACATTATCCAACTTGACGTTTGTCTCATCCATTCAAGAACAACCGATTTTAGGAGCGGGCCTTTCATGTAACCACCCGCTTAGTTCAGTTCTCAACATAATTTGTGCTTTCAACCACTTTCACTCACAAATTCATTCTACTCTTTACTTACGTATATATAGAAAATTACTTAAGTTTGCAATTAATCTAATAATTTCATGTGAAAAACTTTGATTTTAATTGGAAAAAATTGAGTATGCAGACCTATACTTATTTTCTATTTAATATTTTGCAAATGTAGTAATAGTTAAGAAAAAGGACTCTACTTTAGTCACTTTCCAAAACGTATCGACAGACAGGTCTTGCCAAAGAAAAGCGAAGCTTTAAGTAGTACATATGGTAGAGTGGAATTAGTTTCTATGAATTACCAAAAAATGAATAAGCTAATGAAAGAAAAAGTAGTCTGAGAAGAGGCCTAAGTCAATGAAAGAAAAAGTGGCCCGAGAAGAGGCCTTTTTTTGAACCATCTCACTTCTACCATTTGTACAGACTACAGACAACTCGGTTAACGGGCCTTTGTCGAAAGCTTGCACTTCTATGTTCAATTATTGCATGCATAATGGTTGCTGAGAAATGCTGTTTTCCGTATTGAAAACAATTCCTTTAAGGTGGGATTATTTAGAAGCACTGTTTCTGTTTCATGTAGAATCAATCATCTGATAGGATTCTTTCCATTAGCTCATTTAATGAGATGTAAGAAGGGAAGGTTGGAAATATTAAAGATGTCACAGAAATACGTACAGCAAATGTTCTGTTATGAATATTAAGGTAAATACTTTCAACGAGGACAGATTCAAAACGAAGGCTTTGCATTAATTAACATTCTTTTTGTTTCTTCCTAACTGCAATTGTTAAGAATCTTTGAATAGATCTAATTATCAGCGAACTACTTCATCACCTTAAACATAGCCATTTCAACATTGTTAAAAATCGCGAAACCCCGGGATTCCATATTGAGAAAAGGGAAGAAAGGAAGGGAAGAAGGCAGTCGATTGTGAGAGAAATTTCGTGGAAGCGATACCATATTGCTCCGCTTCAGCAAACATTCCAATATCTTGAGTTCGATGGACTATTCTGTCCCCCATCCTTTCGCTAGTGCTAACTAATTATCATCTATTACTATAACGGCTACCATTTTCGGCCAGTCAATAAATTGGCCCTCAGTGAGTGAACATCTCCTGTAATTTAAATCTAAATTAGTGCGAAGTTTACGTTTATTTTTGAATTGCAATATGGATCGAATTTCAGCTCCAATATGTGTTAGACTTTAATTTCCAACTAAACCTGAAATACTTCCATTCGAAATCTAATTTCAGTGATTCATTCTGCTACATCAACGAAAATAAGGGGAAAAGGAAATGTGTGTCATAGCACTGTTAAGAATATAAAGCTTCGAAGGAAATAATTAAAAAAGGAAGAAAACAGGAAGACAGGAAAAGGGTTGACAGAAGAGAACAATGGACAAAGGTCAACGTTACAAAAATCGTTATCGCGGCGGTATTTATCTCATTGTCCATTTCATCTATTTTTCCTCTTTCTCTCCCTTTTTCTCTCTCTCCTTCTCCCTCTAACTCGCTCATTTTCACGGCTTCTCTCTATTGTGTCCTTGTAAAGTGAGATATCGATCTGTCCCTTTTCCTGTCCTCTTTTTTCCACGTTGCACTTCGGTCCAGTTTGCTCTGTCCACTCGATGTGACCGGTAGACAAATAAATAATAAAACGATTGTCACTCTGCCAACTCTGTTGTACGGAGGGAGTATTATTTATCAGGAGTGTAAACGATAGACTATTAGGACATTCCGGAACCAGACTGGGTTCCGGAAAGTCCAGACAGTCCACCGTTTTTTTTTTGTAGTGAATCGAGATATATTTACAGTATCGAGAAACGGATTAAAATTTTACTTCATTGAAAAGACCTCACCGAAACAAACCTTTTTATAACCTCATGAACCGCTTGATGTGGTTACCTTAGTTTTTCAATGATACGACAGATCCACAGATGGATCGAAACTGATGAGTTGAGCTATATTAACTGTAGCTGAACATCATGTAAAAAGAAGCAAATAGCACTGCTACAGCCATTGCAATGCTAAAAGAAAGTTTGTTTCAGATGCACGATGGTAAACGTTCCATAATACATTTATTGGATGGACAACAACTGGAACTTACCATTCAACCACGATTAGTTGTCCATGAATTGTTGAATATTATTGCCAGCCATGTGGCCTTGAAAGATGCCGATAAGCAGTACTTTGGATTAGCTTATGTGGACCACCTGTTAGTTTAATGCTTATTTTGATCAGTTTTCCCGAACTTAAGTATTCTCTATTACCATCAGTATTCCTCGACTTTTTTCACAACCTTCAAGAAGCCATAACCGCTGTTTCATTACGACATCTGTCCAATGCCAATGCTAATGGTTAGCTTAGCTTGGATCACATCCCGGAAGTTTAATTCAATTCGAGAGAAGCCAATCCGAACCACCGTGTCGATTGGCTTCTTTTATCAGAAAATTTAAAGCTGGACCGTGTCCAATATGGTTACACTGGAAGATGCACTTGTTATGCTGAATAGTGATCAGATTACCTTGCTGATTGGTTGATTTCCTTGTTAATGAGATAAACTAAAACAAACAGGTGAAAAGAAGTAATTGTGTGAGAAGCAGGAAGGCAACTAGCTGGAACCAATAGAAAACAGGCGCATTAAGCATTATCAATTAAATATAGCCGCTGAAGAAATCAAAATCTGTGCGGGAAATTGATCTTTTGATTGGTGAAACTGAAAAGAGAATTTTGAAAACGGAAATTCCCATGCCGTGTGAGGACAGCATACATATAGATCAAATAAGGGGTAGAGTCGTTCGCTATGGAAAATGTCAGAAATGAATTTTGCGGAGTATGCGCAGCTATTGCACTAACCGTTTGCATTTTTCATTATTTTCAGCGAACAGTATCACTGGTTGCCCACGGATAGACGGGTCTTGGAATATGACATCCCACGAAAATCTCATCAGTTACATGTCGTTTTGGAGTTACACCATAGCGTAAAGTAGGAGTTTTGAAGTTAAATAACATTATAGGGTAAGAGTTTTGGTGGTAAATCATGGAGTAAAGTAAGAGGAATCGGACTTCCTAAAATCTTAGATCAAACAGTAACATTTTCGATAAAAATGATGCATTTCTCATTCTTTTCAATGTTGCATTTATTCGTTTTTAGGTTCTTTGTTGATTCAGTACTCACCCTGTGTCATCCATCAGCTGTTGAGCTCTATTTTTTGGAGACAGCCAAACGATTAGTTAAAGTGAATTTATCTCCACATTGTTGCGTTTTCATTTTCATTACAAACTTTTGTATCTAATATTAAATTAGCTAAGGCTAATTAAATAGAGATCAAAATAACTTTGTTATCAATTTATTTAAGCATGGTTGTTTATGCGCAGAATATTACAAAGTATTTTTAGGGTTTACTGGAATTCACGGATCTGGAATACTATAAAATTGCATCCAGCTTCTTACAAATATATTGTGGCAATTATGTAAGGTAGTGTTTGAGTATCATACTCCAGCTGATAATGTGATGTTTCTTTAAAAGACATCATTTTATTAAGATCGTACTTGGATTATAGATTATTAAAAGCTTTTTAATTTTTTATGTTGCGTGACATATTTGTTCTTGAATTCATGACTTTCCTCAAATTGCTGACACAAGTAAAATGGATTTCGGCAATAGTGAGTGAACGGCAGGCATTCGGATCAAAGTGACAGCTTACGAAAACGCAGTTGATTTAATAATACTCCATTTTCAGTGATGAAAAGGCTCGATGTGTATTAACGGAGCTTGTACCAATTCCAAATGGAGTGCTGCATACATACGATGTATCATTAGAGGATGTTGAAAAGAATGTAATCGAACTGTACAAGGATCTTAGTGGCGTACCCAAGGGAGTTGCAATTCTGAAGTAGTCATTTTTTACTTTTTTGCAATTTGCATTTCAACTAAGCATTGATAGATTTGACATATATACATGAATGAATAAGCAGTGCTGTTTGCAGCTTTTTACAAACTGCAGAAAGATCTTCAACTCATGGGTGTCATTTTTATCAAGTGCGGGACAAAGCTGGCCAGCCATGGACTGTTGGCATCAGCAATAAGGGGATATTTCAATATGATCCAACTGATATCTCCAAACCGAAAAAGGTTCTTTAGTTGCCTACTATTAATTCACAGTTGACGTTTATGCTCTCTGCTCTACTACTTCAATTTTAATCATTAACTTCCACTTTTGCTTAATTGTCCATTGAAATGTGCTAAGAATAAACTTAAAATATTCCATCTACTTTTCCCTTCTCACCAGCAAAACCTTTGGCATTATACCTTATATTTTCCAGTTTGTCAGTATTTCACCAAACCAACGGTTGTGCACAGTTGGTAACCTAACACGCCCATATTGATATGATGCGTTCTTAATTTCATAAAAAAACACGACATTATATGTATACAATGAAATCATTGCCCAGATAGATGCTTTCTGGCTTTTCGATTACTCTGTTGCTGACTTGGTTTTAGATTTTCAATTGGTCTCTGTTGGACAATCTCTATTATCGGGATCGGAAATTCTCAATCGAGGTACGAAATACACGGTTAGTTTCTATAACATGTATTATTTTACTTCTTGTGCATTTTGTATTATTTGTGGGTTTTTCTTGCGAAGGACTTGGCTTCTAGTTTTTCAGTTGTTTGATGCAAAGAAATCTGTGTCAAGTGAAAAGTTATTGTCACTTGAAACATATCAAAACGAAGAATTGCTTCTACTGTTATACTGCAAAAAAAAATGACCCTTATGTACTCCACTTCTCCCATTCGTCTGTCTTGCCATTTGACTTTGTAGAGGTGTAATCTCACATTCATGTATTACTTGTTCCCTAATACTTTCAATATGCTGATGTTTTCAAGTTCATTACTAAAAATGATAATTGCTGTTTTTTTAATGGGAATTTGGGTTTTAGGTTTATTCAATCATCCGGCTATGCAAACAGTATATTGGATAGTGCGGGTGGTTTGGATTCAGATGACGAGCTCGCAAAAGCTGTGAGAGACCCCACAACTCAGTAAGTTCCATTTTGAGAAAACGGCACTGAATCTTTTGCTGCATTTCGAAATATGTTAGCGGTTATCTTCAGTGATAGAGTTATAATTCAGAATAATTTCGTTTTTTTTTTTAAATTTCAAGGAATGTGTGCCACTTACTCGCATTTCAATTATAATGGTAATTGTAGACATTGGTTTGCGATCTGCTTACTTCTGGAAATGATTGGACTATTTTTAGAGTATCTGTATCTAGACGATCAATTGCATCTTCTGCTGTACAAGTGCATGCTTTCTATTGTGACACTAACTTTTTGTGCAAAACAATTTGGTCAACAGCAATATCACTCCATCAGTTTTATTTGGATCAGCGGACGTGTGCTAGTGCCAATGTGAGTAACTTCTTATCACTCAATATTCTTAAAAAAATAATGAAATACAATCTTTTTCAGGAGTGCCCTTCCTAGTATTCGTTTTCACATCCATTAATTTTCCCAAAATAATGTTTGACTTATGATTGTTCTCATTCCCAGTGACTTCTTTTTGAGAGATATAAATCTGTTGTTTGTTCTCTCGATTACCCGTTAGCAATAAATTCCAGACCTTCAAGAATTTTTATTTATGTCTTTGTAGTTGGGTAAAGTATCCACGTAGACATCCAGTTCTAAAACCTGCTGCAAATGAAGAGTATCCTCCCATTATTTTATCTTAATCATGTTTTCCATTCATAAGACTTTAAAAAAGTAAAAGAAAGATTAATATATCGTCAGAAAACCATAAGGATAAAAATTATGGGTGCTAACATTGTATAATTCTTTCTCCGCTCCAACTATACAGTAATGCTAAGATGAAATGGATGTTTCGACTGATGAGCACATTATATCCCTTACTTTTATTTATGTTTGTATCGGTCCGTCACTTCGTTACTGTTCAAATATTTATTAACAATATCAACTAAGTATTTTGACTCTATTATATTTTCACTCATTTGAAACCACTAGTTGAAGTAACCTCTAGTTAGCTGGCTAAAGCTTGATTTCTTTAAAACTTGAAACTTAACACTGTTAATTACCCCACACAGAACTTTGGAGAAATAATAGAAATGCGGAGAGAAGATATCAAATGTTATTTTTTTTTGCATTTTTTCGAAACTTTCATGTGATACATTTCTCAAATCAATTCAAGTCGTGGATTCAACTCCTAATTTTCAAAGTATTCTTGGTGGTTGTTGATTCTCAAATTATGTATTAATGTTGGTAGATCTCAGGTAGTAGCCAGTAGATAACTCATGCAAATTCATGCGCAGGGATGAGAACCGAAAGAAATATATACCACTACGGCTATAATTTTAGTGGGGCAAGAAAATGGTTGTCTAATGGAGAGTCCGTTCAAGCTGCTACAGAGAAGCCAATGACATGACAATTTTATTGAAGACAAATGTGCATAGTGACTGTGCCAGTTAATCCCAGCAGTAGTATTATACATATCACATTTCCGTCAGTTCACTTTATTTACCGGGGTCAAGTTCCAATGTATATGATCTTTCAAAAAATAATGCTTATTCTCATTTGTAAGTTTCAGTAGTTACCTGAAATATAGACCTTCATTTAACATGATAGGTATGCATTTGAGTGGTACTTACAAGTTTTATTATTAACATTAGTTTAATCTCTCACCTTGGAATACTTACGGTCGTTAATCGAAATGCAAGACTTCTACTGGGCTTCCTGTAGCAAGGCTATACCAGATGAAGTGTCAGCGAACCATTCTCAAAAATGTTTTGCAGATGTCGAACGTATAGCATTTCGTATATATTCGAGATACAAGCTAGCAAAAAGATAAAAGTGTATTTAACTTGTTAACCAAAAACTTCAATAAGCCGATGTTCTCATAGTCAGAGAAACAGCCCACAACCCATCCACTCAAAACAGTAAGTCATACAAGCAAACAATCACCTATATAAGAGCGAACCGCCTGCCAAAGTAACAACCAACCACACTCGAAAACAATAATAGCCCTACAGACGATCACTCATACCTTCCAACTCTCCATCACACTGTATCGCACGATGCAGTGGATGGTTTTGACACTCTATTCGTCAGTATATCAACTATGTCGAATATCCCCCTATTCCCTCACACACATACATACACACTCACATGCGAGCAGACGACACATCATACCGGAAATAAGACAGTCATCCGTCCACCGTTATGTGCATGTTGTGTTACAATTCATTCCATAGCAGCATAGTCGGCTTGCTGTGTTAGATGTGTAAGTGATTTTTGACTAGTGGATTTTCTCCATGCATCCATCGTCTATCTGTCTTCGGTTTCTTCTCGATTGGTATCGCGGTTCATGATGCTATAAGTGGTATGCTGAGCAGGTTTCTTTTTTCTTTTCTATTGTTAGAAATATGGATACGGAAGTCAGTAATGTTGTCATGAAAGTTATTTTCGTCGAGGCCCGAACTTTCGTCACTGAACAGTGAAAGGAAAGGGAAGATGCCCGAATGGAACTGTGTCGCTAAAAAGAGCGGCTGTCTGTGTGAAAACTTCTAATGTCTCAGAGCATCTGTTTTCTACATTTCATTTGATTTATACAATGAGAACTATACTGTAAATTTATTTCCATATCGGACGAGGCGTATGAGGTGAGATAGATTTGGATAGAGGAAAGGGAGGGAGAGGGAGAAGAGAAAGTCAAAGGTGTGTCCGTATGAATTTTCTGAGTAACTTCCACATTTTTTTCATTGTCGAATTTGCTCATTTGTTATTTGTACTTCAGCTTTCTTTTCCATTGGCACATCGTTCAATGAAGTGTGGCTGTACTAACCTTCGTGTGGAAAACAAATTATAAGGACTGGACACAAATAATTGCAAACTGATTAGCATTAGTTTGTTTGTAACCAGTTCTTATCAGAATAACAGAGAAAGGAAAACGGAAGGGGATGAGGGAACTACTTCGTTAATGACTATCGATTGCCGAAAATAGTGATATCGTAACATTTAACCTTTTCAGTATTGTTTCAAATCAACTAGTCATTTTTTTTTTCTTTATATCAAGAAAAGTTATTTCCCGAAAAAAGAATCCCGATGAAGTCAGTTTTCTGTTTTAGTTAAAATATATTGTAGACCAAAAGTTGAAATATTTACTGATAGAAAATGCACAATCATGGAAATGCTACAAATATTTTTTGAATCGTCTATCGGTCAGTGATAACTGGAAGAGAGAAAAAAAGGGGTGGGACAGTTATGCTGTATGTTTAAAGATCGATGGCATAAGTTAAGTGTGTAATCCGTGGATGGGTAACTGTGCTCTACTTTCAGAGGATTGTATCGAGTGATCCAGGAGTTGAATTGAAGCAACTGGGCGAGAAACTTTGTCGCCTAATAAATCATTCTTCTGTTACATCGTCTCTGCCCTCTTTGAAGTAAGCTTATTTCATAATACTGATAAATGACACACGGTACCCTCACAAATATATATTTACTTCGGTGAACCGAATTAATGATATATTTATGAGGGATTAATACAGAACAAACAGTCTTTATGGTTGCACGTGCTATCGGATTTCTTATTTAACGTCGTTCTCTGTCTGTGCATATCATTTGAGATACCTTTTCATTTCTTGATTGCTTCTCTTTCTTTGACAAATTTTCGAATCTTTGATAGATTTCCAACGAACGTTTGGACTTAATTTGGAGCATCCGGAATGATAATACTTGTGAACCGAAATCATCTTCAAAACGGAGCCATTCGTACACCCTTCTTAGTTATAAGAATTCGTTTTTTTTTCACGCATTGTTGACCTGGAAGATGAAGTAACTTATGTCGGAGTAGAACCAGCTATAAAAGCGAGTTCATGAAGAACCCAGGTCCGGCAGTGAAAGGCTTAATTGGAAGTAGCTCATTTGGCGAAGAGAGAGTATTTGGGGCAAGTAGGTTAAATGAATACGCAGGATCGGGAGTTGTCCTCGAAATGTCATCCAACGCTTTTTTTACACTGTCCAGTTAAATATAGGTAACAAGCGACTTTGAATGATTTTTTGAAAATCAGCTTCCATTGGTAAAGTACCAATCATTGGACCGATCCCCAACCGACTACAACTTTTTCTAATGTTTTCACGTATATATGTGCCAGTGTATGCAAAACATTGTGATATATTAGAATTGCTTGGAATTTAGGGGATTTGTTTGTTTCCCTCATAGCCAAATCATTAGCGGAATTTAGTTAATTTCATTGCTGCTTATGTAAAGTAATTTGTTACCGACACTGATTTTTTATTCGAAATCCCCTAAATTTTATTTTATCTAAATTTTATCGAAATCCCTAAATTATTTTATTTTATTTTGCCGACATTGATTAATTTTTTATTCGATAAAACATCACTTGCATTGCAGTTCGCTGTCGTCCAATGGTATGCCGTCAGCGAAAGTATCCGATGGTTCTCTTATTTCACTGTCATCGTTGAACGATGCCCAAAGTCGAGGTACTCAGTTGTTAGAAATTTTTCTGTGTTTTTATAACTAATTCATTTCAATTATTATTTGTAGAAAAGACTCAAGAAGAAAAGCAAAAAGAAGTTGAACTGTACAGACAGTTGAAAAAAAGGAAAAACGAACTCGAAGAAAAGCTTCTGGCAAAACTTGATGAATTACGGGAAGTGTGCATCAAAGAAGCGGTAAACATTTACAATCCAGCAAGCTAAATTCCATGCAACAAATTTTTCCATTGCCGTACTTTTTCAATTGTTATTGTTCTACAGGAAATCACGGGTGAATTACCAAAAGAGATTTACAAGACGCTAATGCCAGGGGAAGAGGAGCCGAAAGTGAAACGGCGTGTTGGAACAGCGTTCTCCCTCAGCGAAGAAGTTTTTAAGAGACCCATAGATAGTGTTAGTTTTCTGTATCATCTTATTTTCCAAATTTCATTGGAATATACTTTCATTCTTTTAGAAATGTCCGACATCTGAAAACAACTTTATGTAGATTTTCATGATGTTAGCTTTAGAATGATAGGATTTCTATGCTGGAAGCGGATGTCGAGTTACATAGGAAAATTGTTGCTGCAGCAGAGCGTCTAGCTAAAGATAAAACAACCAATAAGTCGGTGAGGAAAAAGCGCCAAAAAGATTTGATAGCCGCGACTCAAAAATTACGAGGACTCGAGTTTGGTCTCACACAGCTCCGACTTTCGGCTAGTAAACCTGATGTCAGCACTTCTATCCGTAACGTTTCTGGAAATAAAGGTTGCTTTTTCTCGCTTAATTTTACTCATCAGACTGCTCACACTCATATGATTATCATTTACATCATTGTATAATTACTCTATCATCGTATGTTACTATTGCCAGGACCCTGGAGAAACTGCTCAGATTATCAGATCGAATCGACATCGTTAGGTACTCGAAATGATTCAAACTCATTGATCACAAAATCCTGTCCAGCTACACCACGGGGCTCGTTTCCGGATTTACTTACCTCCGCGGAAAACGAACGAAGTAAAGCAAATGATGTTGATGATGATGATGATGATAGCGGTGAAAAAAGGAGAGCGTCCACGTAAAATTCTTACTCTTCATTCTATTTCACTTCTATGCTTAGATTTCATTTAAAGTTGTAAGTAATTGAAGTCGAACAAAACCAGATCTAAATTAATCAAATTTTGGTAGAGAGTAGAATCCTAGGATTTGAAGTTTAAATTTAGAAACTTGGGATTCAGAAATTTCATTTACTGAATATGTTTAGGGAATGTGTCCAACGATATCCGTCAACGTCAGTCTGCTCAAGCATTCATTCTGCTCATCATATAAATAATACTTCCCTTACCAGTGTTACCGAAAGTGGCTTGTCACTTGGAGACCCGTCTTTTGAATCTAGAACTTCAAAACGTGCACCACCTTCACTTCCTCATCATACCTGTTATTTTCTTCCTGAACATCAAATATCTTGGGAGAAATTAAAGAACCATAACGTTGAAAATCATCATATACCTGTGTAAGTCAAGCTGTATAAGGAAAATAATTGAATTCTTAAAAAGTTAATCATAAATGATCAGTGCTCGCTGGTTCCTTTGTTTCCGTAGTCGTTTCTCTCATCAACTTAAAGCTAACTGATGAGACGCGATAACTTTTGACATTTGATGTTGTGGCATAAGTAAACCACTTCTCGTAACATACAAGACTGTTAAGTGGTATATTATTAGTATGGGATCTCTTCGTAAATTGATGACTTTACTTTCTGTTGGAATGCAGTTTAATTATTTTCGAACTGTGCACTTCTGAATTCTTTTTGATTAGATTGGAGCTATATCATCAAATGGAAATAATTGTTTCAGATATGAAAATATTGGTTATAAGTCGTGTGTCTCTTACAAAAGTTCCTACAGAGAAATGAATTTCCCTACACTAAATGTAAGTTATTCGCAATTTCTTGATATTAATCAGTAGAATTCTTCAACGCTTTGCTAGTTTCCTTCGTCTGTAATAAATAACCCATGTAGTCTTGCATTTGTAAAGTCGATGTATGGATCCCACTTCAATAATTATATGCAGGATCACAACAATTGCAAAGACCGAGTACAGCGTGCATTCTCGGATCACGATTTACCGGAACAGGGATCAGTTACAACTAAAAGTAATGACAAATATGAGTCTCAAATCAATTACGCTGTTGTCGAATCTAGTGGGTCTTCAAAAAACATTGTTGATTACGGAACCGCCGTGAGGCAGCCTCCCTGGAAGTACCACTTCGGACAGGTTTTTTATTGATTTCCTCAAAAACATGTAAAGCTTTGTTGAAACTTTTTCTGACATTTCTTTTAATGGTACGAAGGGATGAGAATTAAATTGCAGGAAAATAACCGGAAGCTTTGTGCAGTAGCAGCAGGAGCAGGAATTAGTAATACGGGTCGACAGGTAATGATTCAGCAACAGCAGCAGAATGATGAGATCCCACCTTCATCATGCGTTGGACCGAAGTTGGTGAATTCCTTGGAGACGTATCAGCAAAGCAGTAGTAATTGTTGTGATAGTCCACCTATTGCTGATTTATTGTCGAATGATGGGAAAACACCGTTGCGTTACGCAGTACTACCGACGTCGCGGTCATATAACGATGGTTTTGCAACAGCAAGTTTAGACAGGCGAACAATGAAAGAAAGGTTTCTTCTTTAAAATTCAAATTCCCCGATTAAAATTTGGAAAAAAGTAGTTATTATAAAAGTTCGATCTCAGATTTATACAATCTCTGGTCAGGATTCAAAATCCATGTCCACAGAGGAAAAGTGGTCGACTGTAATGGTTTGTATAGTTTTCCTGCCTCATCTTCAGTTATAATTGCAATTTATCGAAGTTTTCTTCTTGGTAGGCAATTATCCTGTAGTTCCGTGGGGTATCACCATCTCCGATCAACACAACAGGCCGTCAACGATATGGTTCGTGAAATAAGCATTGGTCAACCAATTATCCGGCATTCACCTCTGAGCATTCCTCGATTCACTACCACTTTTCCAGTTTCTGGTCCCGCCAATGTGGAAAAGAGGTATTTTTTCTTTCAGTAAAATATACGTTTCTTAGAAATTCTCCAGATATTCGAGAATTTTATTCATTGTGATTATTTTGACTTTCAAGGCTTCTTCATCTAGTGATGAAAATTTTTGGTTTATCTAAATATTACTATTGGAGATTACTTTTAGCAAACCTCATTTGTCAGCGGATATTCATCATTATCAGCATCGTTCACCGTTACAGCAACGCAACAGTCCCGAACAGAGTGTAACGTCACCACGGAATATAGCTCAGATTATCGGATCCTCATCAAATTTACGCCCTCCACCTCCTGCTTACCCAGTTGCTGTACGGAACGGGATATTTGGTGTCAGGAATCCACTGGGAAAGGTTATCACCGCACACACAGATCTTCGAATGGATACTTTGAAGAATTATTACAAAGATAAAGCGGACGGAAGAAAGAAGAACGCTACAGCTGTGTGAATATGACGTTTATTAATTGTCGCATTGTTTTGCTTAGCGTAAAACTGGTTAGAATCAGTTAATATTAACTGGCAGTGCAGAGATGATAGATGGCAGAATGATAAAATTATCTCATAGGGAATCAATAACATCCATGCAACGAATAGCTATTTGAAAAAAAAAAAACAAAAAACAAAGGAAAGTATACCTTACTACACGTCAGGAATATTTATGAAAGCAAGTGAGAGATGATCGCATTCTGGTTTTAATGGAATAAGTTCAAAGACAAGAGCTAACATTATCGATCACGGGTGACAACCTATAGTGTTGCATATGGCTGGAAGGTTCTCCCAGTTTTCGTTATTTGGAGTGTTTGAAGTATGGGCGAAAACTTCCATCAGTTTGCATTATCGTTCGATGTTAGCGTTTGAGCATTTTTAATACTGTCATCTGTTGGTGCTTTGTTACAATTCCAGCTACAAAATAAACATTCCTGTAAATATGGAACCACATATTTCCTATTTCATTCTTTTCGTCGTACATTTTCTCTTGTTGATGCAGCAAGACCGTATCCCACTAGTTGCTTCATGTTATTCGTGGTAGTATTTTCCCGTGACGGAAGCTTCTTACAAAATTTCTGTTATCTGCATACATACTTTTCCATAAATCACATACAACAACATCTTATTCAATGATCTGTCAAAGTCCCTTCAGCGTACGGTTTTGCCAGCAATTGCACAACAATTCTCACTGAGTGTACATTTTTACACACTTGTTGAAAATATCTCATGCAATCGAATTTAGTCCCTCCAGGAAACTACAATGTTTGTTTACATGTATATGCTTTATATTTTTACATAAGGAATGTTTCAAAGAAATGCATTATTTTAATTTGTTTTTCAACAGTTCGTCTTTTTTCTTACATGCCTTTGCTTGATCACACCATCCTTTGCTTTTCTGCACTCTACGGTGTCTTGCCATAGTAGAAAGAGGAGTAAATGTTGGAGATAGGGTGCCACATGATTTTATAACCAGTGAAGAACATGGAACGAACATCATAATCGTACACGAATTAGGTAAACTAGTAAGGAGAGACATCAAGAAATGTAGCCAAGATCTAAGGAGCAGGCATCTTGACATTTTGTTTTTTTAAATCTCATTAGTTTTTAGTCGGATTTGCCAAATTTTGGCAATAATATGCGCGATCAGAGATTTGAAATCATGCATGAAATAGGAGTTAGGTCATCCGTCGTCATGATACTCGCAGCTATTGTGATTGCATGCAATACATCGAACTTTATGATATATGGTTTTGTAAAGAACACCATTCCATAACTCGCATCAGTTTTGCAACGGAAGCATGATTTCTAGAATTCTCAGAAGGTAGTCGCTATTCAACTATTCCTTAAATCATCAGTCGACCGACTGTGTTTTGTGTTTTCGAAAAGTTGATTGGAGCAGTATAACAGACCTTTTACACTCACTGGAGAATTATTTTGGAACCGTTATTTCAAGCAAATTTTTAAAGAGAGCTCTAAAGGCATATTTATACATTAACATAATTATAATTCAAGTGTTGCAGATACAGACAGCAGTAAATGAATATCCGTTAAAAACCATATGACTGAATCTCAATTCCAATAGATCAGTTGAATGTCACTACTGATCATTTTGAATGTCAGAGTCAACAAATATGTAGTAGAGGAAAGGAGTTCCAATTTTACCCAGAGAATCGAATTAATCATACTGATAAAAATAAGAGTTACCGGTGCTTCAAAGCCGGATATAGTTTCGGTTTGATCAATCTTTGGAAAACAATCTCATAACAAAAAGGTATGCTATGCTAGGGTGCCAGCTTTTTTCTCAATTTTAAGCAGCAATGATTCACAATGATTCCTCTATTGTTAGTGCCACCTGAACCACCATCGAAGGATATTGTAAATTTGGATCGACTCTTCAATTTACATTGTTCGTTATTCAAAGTTCAAGCAGATGAAGTGATTTGTGATCTACTGATTAATACAAGGTGTACAATGGTGACCATTTGTGTCCATTGTTTTGAAAGTCAGAGAAAGTCAGAGAGCATAAAGTCAGAAAAAGTCAGAGAAGTCAAAGTCAAAAAAAGTCAGAGAGCATATGGCATGAAGTTAGAATTGTATGTTATCAAATGAAGATAGGTAAGTAGATGCACCGATACGCAGTGTGCCGATAAGCATACGCAATGAGTCATAGACGGACTTACCATTGTTAAGTGATGTTATTTGAAAAATGAAATTACCACAAATTCAACACTTCATAATGGATGATAAGTATAAAAAATAGAATGTAAATGAAAGAAAATTCTCACTTTTTAAAGCTGAAGAAATACATTCGTTGCAAATGAAACATTTTTCAAGAAGAGCATAAAAGTAATGGGAGATAGTCAAATATCTATAATTAAAGAAATATCACAGCCTGTAAAATAATTCAGAGAACTAATAGAGATATAATTAACGATAGCAAATCCACACAGAAAGATGAATAAAAATTTTTGAAAATACGGTCAACGTTAACTATTTGTCAATTAACATTGGCGACAATGTACAGTTTCATTTAACATCGATGCAACTTATTGCAAGAGTAACCGATATAAAGTAATCATAATCGCGATAGACTCTTTGAGATACATTATAGTTTGAAGTGTAAGTGGAAAGGAGTGAAAATCCTTCAGTTCCTTCAACTTATCCCCTTTGGATGGGAAGTTATGCGAGAGGTGCTAATGACTGACTACACTGAAACAACTCACTCTTATCTATTCGACAGCTATTCATCATAATGAATATTAGATTACGGGAACGGTGCTCTTTTCTCTTTTACCCAAATCGTCAACATTGAAAATGGAAAGCACACCGCTGGCCACAACCCCGTATAGTCACTATCAGGTTCCTTCCTATTCTCCCCGCTTTCTATATCTTCATAACTTTCTTTTCTTTCTCTCTCTACTTTTCACTAAAAGCAATATGCTTCAAAGCTTCCCAACAAACAAAGCAACAGGCTGAAAACGAACTAGAAAATGATGAAATACTGGATATGTATGTTGCGGGGTGTTCCAGCACCACCGACTTCTCGCAATTCGGATACTAACCTCCGTGCAGCGTCACACAGTGTATCAGAGATGAATGGTGCGGTGGTGTGTTGTCGGGTGTTGTGCGGTGAGATTCATTCTGTTTCTGTTGCATTTTTAATTTTTGTCCTTCGTAACGATAAATCTTAGAGAATTTACGGGCAATATAAACCACCTTATTAAGATTGTTTCATATGGTAAACCATAGTAGACTGTAATTGCTTAACCTGACGACAGTGCGCCGTTTATGGGATATTTAAAGGATGAGGTTGAATTGGTTGACCCTGTCCCGATACTGTGTTAGAGTGCTTGGTCTGTCGACAAACACATAAAAGAGGAGGCTAAGCAAGCTAAAATTTTGGCTTTGTTGTGTTGTGCAAGAACAGGTATATGGGTATAATTAGACGTTTCCATGCGCACATTTTGGTGCATGGTCATGAAGCTGCCAAAAAATATTTATTTTTCCAGAAGAACAGGACAGAATATTCGCTGCATATGGATGCTGGTAAGCATTCAATTCATAACTTCTTGCGGGTCCGAGACTTTATTCCAAATTCGTAGATTGTTTGAACTTTGATGTTAATTATATTATTTGTACGAATTAGATTTTTAGAAAGGGATGAAAAAATGCTGCTACTACGACTGTATTAATTTGTCATTAATTATCATTTGTTATCACTGCTATTAAATTTTACATGAATTGAATATGTCGTCTCAACTATGTAGTAGACATATTTAAACAGAGTTTTAGGACGCAACCATCATTATCTTTGTTCAGGAGATCGAGTTGGTGAGTTATTTTCTTACTGAATTTCACATAAATGTATATTTTTTTACTTTAGCATCAACTACTCTAACGAGTAAGATTTTCGCTCGATATCTTGCAAACATCCGTCGTGAATGTTCTTCATATCCATTTACTCATGATCGTAATTTTAAACCGGACCGAACATGCCGTTACTATCTTATTGGAAGATGTGCTTTTGGTACTTCTTGCAGGTGTAATGTTTCCTTCGTTTCTTGATGCAGCTAGTATATTTATAGCTCTTACAGCTGCATTAGATAGAAGCTAGAATGCTTTCATCAAGCCGTCGAACATGTTAGAGTCACAAAAGCGTTAGAAGCGCCAATATTCGCTTGATATTAGCGGTTATATTTTTTCCTAGAACGGTATCTCTCGTACAAGAGTGCATAATCAAAAATGTTATTTATTAGCGTAAGGGAATTCTAATTATTATAGATGAAACAGTTAATAATGTCAAATGTTTTCTCAGGTATGACCATAAACGACCGCCATTAGATGGAATTAAGGCAGTGAAAAGCCTTTGTACAGCGGAAAATTTTAATTCAACCAAAGGTAATTTTTATTTCAATATGCATATATATTATTAAGAACTTTACACGGTCACTAAGAAATGTAATATGACAGGAGAAAAATAGTTATGTTTAGTGTACAGTCACAATAGGCAACAACTTTGATGCAAGAACACTTGGTTAATGAGCTTGATTAGTAACTGGTAATATAATGTACGACAGTGTGATCAATCATTATTTCAGCGGTAGAAAATGGTTGCAGCAGCGATAAAACAGCAACAACAGCAGCGGCAGTGAACCGAAGCAGTCACGAGTTTTCTGTTGACGCCGCCGAATTTGTTCCTTCTTGGAAAGTTTCGACATTAAACGAAGTTAATACTGTTGCTTCGGGGTAGGTGAACTACAGGCTTTTGCAAAAATTGAATTATTCGTGAATATAAGACGAAATGAAAGAATGTGAGGATTTTTACAGATCATTTGGTTCGCTACCATTATGTCCTTATTTCGAAACCGGAGAATGTGACAAAGGTGATAAGTGCCAGTTCGTGCATGGTGATGTGTGCGATCTTTGTAATGTTCCATGCTTGCATCCAATGGATACAGAACAGCGCGCACAACATCGACGGGAATGTATAGACGCTCATGAAGCTGCCATGAAAGAAGCGTTTGCTGAAGCACGTTCAGCTGATAAAGTGTGTGGTATATGTATGGAAAACATTAGGCAAGTATCTTTTGCGAAATAGTTCTTTGATTGAAAGTGAAGGAGGAGGGACCTTGTTATTTTTAGGAAAAAATGCGATCAATTTTTATTATCATGTGTAAGCACGATAATACGTTCATTTTCAGGGAGATAAAGAGCCGTTTTGGAATCCTAGAAGGCTGCAGACACTGTTTTTGTTTAGACTGTATTCGGAAGTGGCGTCGAAATCAGAATGATCATTTCGAAAAGAAAACAGTTCGCAGTTGTCCTGAATGTCGCACTCATTCGGATTTTGTCATTCCCGGTTTGTGATTCGCACTCTGTTTTTATCATAGTTCTAATGAGGAAACTTTTTTTTAATTTGGTAATGTAAAAAATTTTTCTTTATTCTTTATTAGTGTTTTACAGTTGACTAGGATTCAGTTGAATATTTTGCGTTTTTTGAAAAAGATAATTGGGACATATATGTTGCAGCCACATATTGGGTCGAGGATCAAGCAGATAAGGATGATCTGATTGCTAAATTTCGTGAAAATGCAAAACAGAAGCAGTGTAAATATGTAAAAGAAGGGTATATCGATGATTGTCCATTTGGCAATAAGTGTTTCTACAAACATGAATTACCAGATGGTACCGTCGTGGAAGGCGATAGCCCACGAACTCTTCACAGGTTTCCCTACATAAAGTTACTTTCGATTTATTGTTTCGATGGATGTTTATGGAAAGATAATAATTTATAACGTTTTGCAGACGAAGACGTCCGTTATATTCCGAAGTGTGGTCATTTTCTGATTCAGACTCGGAGGATGACTTTTCAAGAATTGCGCAGGGCATTATCAGCCGATCATTCAGTCTTGTTTAGAATCTTTCTGGAATGTTCCCACCACTCACACATTGTACTTTTTTTTGGCAGTGCTGGACATTATTGTTTTTTCAGCATCTATAGATAGGAAGCCGCTCAAAAGTTTGTCAAATTCAAGAAAGTATTGTTCGTTGTCATCAAGTTTCCGTTTGCTTTTTTCCGTTCATGCTCTATGACAAACCGGTACCCTTGTGTTTCTTCATGCCAGTTATGTCTTTATGTTGTATTTCTTGTTTCGTATTCTAACTACTAGTTTTGCATATTTTTCGTTGGGTTCTGTATGATATTTTCGATTGCTAATTTTTTATTAAACATAACTATAATATCATGATGTGATGTTTGTAGGAGCTTTAAATTGATTGTATAATGCGTTTACATTGTTAGGATATCTTTAAGTACCGGTCATCTATCTACCGGCTCATGAATCTGTTTGTGTTAAACTAGTGATTATTTGTGTCAAACTAATACGCGAGTCTTTATTATTGGTTTCTAATGAAGTGCTATTCCAGTTGAATCTGGCGTTCATATTTTCAGGTCGGATTAATGTTTTCTTATTCGTTTTTAAATAATTTTTGGTAGGATCTCCCCCAATGATTTCCCTGAAAATAAGTGCTGAGCTGAAGTGTATTTGTAAAGGTTTCAAGTAAACTTAGATTTTAACCTCATTTAAACAAATTGGTAGAAACGGATGTTTCGGATCATGGAATGCTTAACCATATAAGCGAATTGAGCAAGTTGGAAGATGTATGGCAGTTTGAACTTCTTGAGAGCGTTTGTAACATGCAGTCTCACACGCTGGTTTGGGTGGGCACTAGAGTTTGGGAAACGAGAGGGAAGACTAATCTTATACGATTGGTATAATGTGCTTGTAGTTTTGGCTCTTTTTCTGTATTTTTTAAATCAAGCACAAATGCATTAATCAAAAGAAATGCTTGATTTGGCATAATCGGAAATGACTTTAATTAATAGAGACCCATATCAGCTGAAATGAATTTTAGATTGAAAATTCCCCATCTATAGAATGGAATCATTATGTTGGGCATGGCTTCGGTTTGAAATACCAAAGCAATTTCCTGTTAATTGTAGTGTTTTTTTTTTTGATTAGCTGAATGTGGTAAATGAGTAACAAAGCAAATTAAAAATTAAATTTGAGCTGTACTAAACTGGAACGGATGTCAGAATTGATTAGTCATTATTTCCGTTACCGGTTTCTAAGGCGTACCCATTCGCTTAAGAATTTTTGGCAATTGTGTTTTGACAGGAATTTCAACTGCTAATAGATGACACAATTAGAGAGATGATAAAGGCTCTTCAAAGCGTGATATATTTGTTTCTGAAAATGAATAGTGGAGAAGGTTACTACTGGAAATGGAACTCAGTGATGGTAAATGTTCAAGAAAAAGTGAAGTATGATGCGGAATTTCTTCTGAGATTATTTCAGTTTCTATTAGATATATAAAAAAAATTGAAGTGATTCATGTATGTCCCGATATTGAATGGCAAGGAAAAGGCTCGAGAATTGATTGATGTTGTTCGGGAACAAACTGATGCGCCTATAGGAACATGTATAAATACTGTATCGATCATCCTGAGTAGTTTACTGCGAGATTTGCCAGATGTATATAGTCTTCATGTTATAAAAAATAATTTGGAAAGAGACGATATAATCGATGTGGATAATTGCTATGATGCGAAAGTGTTGAAGCAGCTCACCGCTAGCATAACAACTTACATTGAAGATAAATGTCAGGTATGGATAGCGTAGATTTACTGTTATTGTTGTTACCAATAGTCATAAAGCTATATCATTTCAAACAAAATTTGAACTAGAACTGTAGGATGGAGAAGAATGTTATATATTGATTTGGACAATGTTTTACAGTTGGACTGGTCTATTCGGAATGACGAGGCTATGTTGGTTAAGTCACTGCGACAGTTTTCTGGATTTCTGGTAACTTAATAATGCATCACTGGTCTGTGGTCTTATTGGTTATGTACCGAAATTTCAGTACTTTCCTAATTCAATTTGATCAGCGTTCAAATATTTAGAAAATTTACTCGCAACTTGCTCATCTCTATTTATCTTCTAAGAAAGAATTTAATATAGGATATGATGGAGAATTGTTTTGAGAAATTTAAATTACAGAAAAAAGCTGATATCCGAGTAGCTATGAAACGTTTTCATCAGGACGATTATACCTTCATTGAGCAGCTAGTTTCACTTTACCAAATGGTAAGTTTTCATTTCCAATCAGTTCAATATATAGTTTTTACAAATTAAAGAAAAATTCTCTTGAAATATTCTTTTCAAAACTGCGTTTATGGAATCTCATACCATTGCTGTCCTTTAGGAGCTGAAGAAATCAATACGCATCGAGCTGCTTTCGACATTTCACTCACTTTGTTTGTTGGACCGATCAGTGATAATAATGCTGCTTTGTGGACAATTGCCAGTACTGCTCGTGTCACAAAATAATTTCTGTTTGCCACTCACCGAACTTGATATATCAACTTTGCAGTTGCTTTCTGTATTGTTTTCAACTGGCGAAAAATTCCCAACTTCACATTATGATAAGTTTCTTTTGTTTTCATATCCTCACTTTTTCTAATTATATTTTTACCCATTCGTGGTGTCACCTTCGAACGTTTAACTTATTCAAATAATCACTTTAAATTCAGTAACCTTTTTCGCGGATGAAATAGCTGTTAGCATTTGTAGCCAAAAAAGAGGCAAAGATACAACTTTTTCAGTCCTTTTGCGCAATATTGTTGTACGGACATTCTTTTTCAGATGCTCTGAATTTGGAGTTTTTGACGAAGATAATCTCGATAGTAGAGGATTTTGCAGATGCTTTCCAATTCATTTTATCATTCAATGTCCATTTTAAGTCAAATGAAAGTATTGTTATTCAGGCTTTGTATAAGAATCCCCCACTTACATTTGGTCAATTACTCACAATGCAGTTGAACCGGTGTAGAGCTGACAATAAAGGCAGGTTCTACACGTAGGTCCAAAGTAGCTGTAGAATCCTTTATTCAAGAAGTATCGGTCACAAAGCTATTGTGGGAACGCTGACCATTATCTGCATATTCAATTCTCATTCTTTTCATACTTAAATTCGTTGTTTAGACTTACGCGCAGTTAAATTGCTAATGGATATTTTTTGTGTGTCGGATGACCTCATTGCGACTCTTTTTTATGATAACGACTTGAAAGTTCTTTATGGGATACTATGCCAGGATTTGATCGACACAAACCAATTACAGGTACAGCTATGTTAACAGATCCACAAAATATGTGCTCTGCAACTGCTACTTATTTTCTGTATAATTTGAAATTAGGCTATTCAGAAAATGGCAATGATATTGCAAATAATGAAAAATATGGAAGTGATAAGACGATGCGGATTCACTCAAGAAGTATATGCATCAGTGAAAACTTTTCTGTTGACTCATGAAGCAGAACTGGAGTTGAGGCGCTGTGCGGAATCCATCCTGCAACAAGTCACCGAGCAACAAACAAATTTACCTCTTAAAATGTAACATACGTAACATGTAACAGCGCCAGAAATTTACTATGATCTGCTTTTTGTATTTCAAGTATTAAAAAAATATTTGTCAGCAGTTGTGGTATCCTTTGCCGCTTGTTATAAACTTTTGATCTGCAACGACTTCACTACATGATTTGATTTGGTTCAGAACGCAATCCATAAGGAGGATAAAAAAGCGTGACAAAAATATTGTAATTCTCTCATACTAGCTTCTACTTACAATTAAATAGGGTTGATTAGGATGTATTGGAAATCTTAGATCTACACCTTCCAATCTGTAATTATATCTAGAGTCGCCATTAAGGAATGAGAAAGATTTGTCCGGACTATTTTCGAAAGATCGGTAGGACTTTTTTCTCTGTGGTGTCCTTGATATATGCAAAAAATATCTTTAAGTGGAGCGAAAAAAGAACGGCGATGCTATATAAAGAAACTTGACGTCATTTGGGTCAGGCGGTATATATACACTTGACAAGATCACGATATTGATGACCAATTTCTCCGTTTCGGTATCATATGTTTTCTCCAGTCGAAAGCAACACTTGGCCAAATTGCAGTAACTTCTAATAAAATGTAACGTCGTGATGCTTCAAGTAACGTGAGTCGTGCTTAGAATTTGCACAGAGTAATAAATTTCTGGGATCGCAAGTGTTGTTATTTCGATTAAGCAGACAGTCTTTTTGGATTGTTTACGCTGAAGTATATCAGTGAATACTCTATTTATGCCGAAATAGTTTTCCACACAGCTTTGACTTGAAATAAAATTCTTCTGTAGTTCATCCAAGATTTTTAGAATGCACAATTTTCTATGGAACATTTTTGATTTATTTCAATTGAAGAAGAATATGAACATTTGGATAAGAAGTAGACGTCGCTATGCTTTCGAGCTGATCCATTTCTTATTTGCTCTTCATGAAAAATTATTTCCAGACATTTCGTTTTGCAGCTTTCAACAGCTCTCATTTTCCTTACCCCATTCCTTACCATATTGTCCTATACAAACCGTCTACCACATTTCCGATAGTTAAGTTTTTTTTTGCATTTTTCACTGTACGTATTTGTTTCTAACGTTTGTATCATATACACCTTCAATTCGCAGTTAAGTGAGCAACAGTTTCACTCGCTCCGTTGAGTACAACTTATCAAAAGAATATGTTGTAATAAATACGCTATTTACCGGAATAATCATTCTTCGGCACCCGTATTCAGTTCCGATGATTCGAAAACACTGCACGTCATTCTAGCCGGGAACTATGACTTTTTGACTTGCTGGGTTTTCTTAAATGTTACGATAGTAATAATGATTTCATAAATTTAAACACATCAAGGGAGATTCCCTTCTACACATTAAAAACCTAGAAAGAAGGTCGATCACCACTCTTTGTGAGGATTTTCGGTTCATAGATGTTAAACAAATAAATGTTCTTAATTTGCTACATTTTTTGGAATTTGGAACTTCACCTTTAAAATCAGCGAAATGCAGCACATGTTACCATCTCTTTTTCCAAACATATTTTTACTTCTAGGGATTACCATCGTTTGTTAAATTATAAAGAGTTGTGTTGGCACAATAGTCTTGATTAATATTATATTATTCAAGCATCTAATGTCGTTTGAACATTGACTGCCACCTTCTTGATATGCTTCATAGAAGGAAATAGAGAAAAAGGTCGCTGCTTCGTCGAAAAGTGCACAAACGATGAAAGGAAAGCGACGGATTATAGCGTATTTATGACGATAAAAACTGATTGAGTTGAAATTCTCACCCTGCAGCTGCGCGAGCCTTTTATATAACGAATTCTACAAACTTGTTCATTTCACTGCAGTACTGTTGGAATGATCTGTCATTACAATATCATTTTGATTAGCGTAGAAATAGATAATTTCAGCTAGCAAATAGCCAAATCAAAACATTGCAAATAAGCGACTACTCACGAGATACATTTCGTTCGGTCGTAGTTCGTTTCTCATATTAAAACTCTAAGAACTCACGTGATTCTTACACGCAAACACAAGCGTTAAGAAAAAAAATTTTTTTTTGTAACTAATTTCTGATCATAATTCGGATGTTGAACTACCGCAACAAGTAAATATCTTAATATGGTTAATATAAATCCAAATAACTGTTTGCTTCCCATGATTTTGCATTAGATTCCATAACCTTTAGGATTTCCAGACTGAAACAATATTAATTGCTACTTATTGTGGTTCAACCAATGTCGGATCCCATTCTCTTCACTTATACATAGAAACTCCTTCGATCGAAGACATCGGATCATCCTTATACATTGCAGACTTCAACTGCTTTCAAATTTGTTGTTAAACAACTCAAGCACAGCAACATATACATGTATACTTGTCCGTTCATTGTCAGGTAGATATTTTAAAGGAGAACCTCTTGTACCATCCGTCGCAGTCTCTCTCTTCCATCATCGGTCCGTGTTCCAACGATCCCCACCGATAACTCAAGCAGAACATCCTTACATTCATGCTTAAATTTGTTTTGATAAAAAAACCTACATGCAAACAGTTAGATGAACTGCACCGGATGTCAAAAAAGACTTCATGATTCCTTGAAGCGACCATCTGCACTGGTGAAATTAAATACGGATGCCACTTCAGAATCTCTTCTTCGCAGCATCGAGAACTCTCATTTGTTTAATTAATCGGCTCACTACTTTGGAAATGCTTTTCAGTTATTGCGATCACAAATTAATCCTATCGAAACACTTGAAATATTTAATACTTAAATACTTAAAAGCGAATGTTCAATTTTTTGAAGCTCACACGACAACCATTCTTTTCGTAATACCAGAAAAAAGGATAATCAGTTTTATGTCCAGTGATGTTAATTCTTTCGGAATAAAAAAATTGCCTACTTTTTTAAATGAAGCCTAACCCGCATTCAACCTTTCCTCTTACTTCTGAAATACTATGGAGAGCATTAGCTCTTATTGACTGCTGCTGCATGCTTGTCAAGTCTAGCTAATTAGAGCTTCGAAAGAATTTTAAATATAAGAGTAAGCAACAAAAAATCATTCTGGTTCTTATCTCTATACATTCATATACCGAAAGAAGATAATAAACCCCATTTATTATTTATTCCTATTCAGATACAAGTCGTTAACCAGAATTGGCCTTTTTCAAAAAAATAACCCCTCCTAATAAGTATTCATTTTATAGCTCTATTCAATATATTCCTCATCTATCAAAGAAAACAACGAAAACTTTCCGCACTTTTTGACAGCGGTTGGATTAGCAAATAGGGTCAGCAACCTATGCAATTATAATCGACCTAGAAAGAGAGTAATATGAAAAACACTTGAGTGACTGTTTATATTTCTATGCAACTTGTAAAAAATTGCGATCACAGAAGAGATGGGATGAGTCAACTTGCATCTTCCTCTCTACACTTCTTCCGCCAAATCATTTCCATTGGTTCCATGCTTCATTTCATTTCATAAAAATAACGTCCATCTGGCACGCTGTTTCGGTTGTATCAATGCATACCCCGTGGTTCCATCTCTCTATGATATAAACAGGGTCTCGCTTCTGAAACAAATCAGTGATTTCTTGGTGTTTTTTTGGGCACTCCTTTGCCGTAGTTATATCTGAGCACGATACCCGAACTAAGAAGTTGAGCAACAAAGACATCCGAATGCAAATCTCGATTATACATGAAAGTATGTCCGAAGCGATTCGTGAAGTAGTGTTTTGGCGGTAATGATGTATTAAGCAGATGCTGCGCATGCTAATTTGGAGTAAGGAAATATTAAAAAATTAAAAAAAATAGCTTAGCAAAACAGTAACAAGTGACGAACATCATATTACAATTGGAAGCAAGCAGAAAATCCAGAAATACTTTTAAATCGTAAAGAACGCATACGTAATCAATCCTTCCAACTCTCTACTGAGATTTCCCATCCAGCATTTTCATGAACACCTAAATCCGTTAAACTCGATTTCTGGTCATCTTACAGAGTTTAATTATTTGTCTCTTCTTTGCTGTTATCCTTCATTCGAACAGTAGTTTTGAATTTTCTGAATCCATTATGATTTTCATCCTTGTAGGCTCAGTATTGCATTCCCAAACCGTACAATGTCCAAAGAAGTAGGTGACATCATGCGAAACTCGCTGGATAAGCTATTTGAAACAATTGGCGACGTTTTCTAGCATGATTGCAATACACATTCATTGTAGACATAACATGCGATAGTGCTATTCATATCACTTGGGCTTTCATGACAATGTTCTTGGCTTTACTTGGCTTTTGAATCGATAAAAAAGTCAGAGAGCATATGGCATGAAGTTAGAATTGTATGTTATCAAATGAAGATAGGTAAGTAGATGCACCGATACGCAGTGTGCCGATAAGCATACGCAATGAGTCATAGACGGACTTACCATTGTTAAGTGATGTTATTTGAAAAATGAAATTACCACAAATTCAACACTTCATAATGGATGATAAGTATAAAAAATAGAATGTAAATGAAAGAAAATTCTCACTTTTTAAAGCTGAAGAAATACATTCGTTGCAAATGAAACATTTTTCAAGAAGAGCATAAAAGTAATGGGAGATAGTCAAATATCTATAATTAAAGAAATATCACAGCCTGTAAAATAATTCAGAGAACTAATAGAGATATAATTAACGATAGCAAATCCACACAGAAAGATGAATAAAAATTTTTGAAAATACGGTCAACGTTAACTATTTGTCAATTAACATTGGCGACAATGTACAGTTTCATTTAACATCGATGCAACTTATTGCAAGAGTAACCGATATAAAGTAATCATAATCGCGATAGACTCTTTGAGATACATTATAGTTTGAAGTGTAAGTGGAAAGGAGTGAAAATCCTTCAGTTCCTTCAACTTATCCCCTTTGGATGGGAAGTTATGCGAGAGGTGCTAATGACTGACTACACTGAAACAACTCACTCTTATCTATTCGACAGCTATTCATCATAATGAATATTAGATTACGGGAACGGTGCTCTTTTCTCTTTTACCCAAATCGTCAACATTGAAAATGGAAAGCACACCGCTGGCCACAACCCCGTATAGTCACTATCAGGTTCCTTCCTATTCTCCCCGCTTTCTATATCTTCATAACTTTCTTTTCTTTCTCTCTCTACTTTTCACTAAAAGCAATATGCTTCAAAGCTTCCCAACAAACAAAGCAACAGGCTGAAAACGAACTAGAAAATGATGAAATACTGGATATGTATGTTGCGGGGTGTTCCAGCACCACCGACTTCTCGCAATTCGGATACTAACCTCCGTGCAGCGTCACACAGTGTATCAGAGATGAATGGTGCGGTGGTGTGTTGTCGGGTGTTGTGCGGTGAGATTCATTCTGTTTCTGTTGCATTTTTAATTTTTGTCCTTCGTAACGATAAATCTTAGAGAATTTACGGGCAATATAAACCACCTTATTAAGATTGTTTCATATGGTAAACCATAGTAGACTGTAATTGCTTAACCTGACGACAGTGCGCCGTTTATGGGATATTTAAAGGATGAGGTTGAATTGGTTGACCCTGTCCCGATACTGTGTTAGAGTGCTTGGTCTGTCGACAAACACATAAAAGAGGAGGCTAAGCAAGCTAAAATTTTGGCTTTGTTGTGTTGTGCAAGAACAGGTATATGGGTATAATTAGACGTTTCCATGCGCACATTTTGGTGCATGGTCATGAAGCTGCCAAAAAATATTTATTTTTCCAGAAGAACAGGACAGAATATTCGCTGCATATGGATGCTGGTAAGCATTCAATTCATAACTTCTTGCGGGTCCGAGACTTTATTCCAAATTCGTAGATTGTTTGAACTTTGATGTTAATTATATTATTTGTACGAATTAGATTTTTAGAAAGGGATGAAAAAATGCTGCTACTACGACTGTATTAATTTGTCATTAATTATCATTTGTTATCACTGCTATTAAATTTTACATGAATTGAATATGTCGTCTCAACTATGTAGTAGACATATTTAAACAGAGTTTTAGGACGCAACCATCATTATCTTTGTTCAGGAGATCGAGTTGGTGAGTTATTTTCTTACTGAATTTCACATAAATGTATATTTTTTTACTTTAGCATCAACTACTCTAACGAGTAAGATTTTCGCTCGATATCTTGCAAACATCCGTCGTGAATGTTCTTCATATCCATTTACTCATGATCGTAATTTTAAACCGGACCGAACATGCCGTTACTATCTTATTGGAAGATGTGCTTTTGGTACTTCTTGCAGGTGTAATGTTTCCTTCGTTTCTTGATGCAGCTAGTATATTTATAGCTCTTACAGCTGCATTAGATAGAAGCTAGAATGCTTTCATCAAGCCGTCGAACATGTTAGAGTCACAAAAGCGTTAGAAGCGCCAATATTCGCTTGATATTAGCGGTTATATTTTTTCCTAGAACGGTATCTCTCGTACAAGAGTGCATAATCAAAAATGTTATTTATTAGCGTAAGGGAATTCTAATTATTATAGATGAAACAGTTAATAATGTCAAATGTTTTCTCAGGTATGACCATAAACGACCGCCATTAGATGGAATTAAGGCAGTGAAAAGCCTTTGTACAGCGGAAAATTTTAATTCAACCAAAGGTAATTTTTATTTCAATATGCATATATATTATTAAGAACTTTACACGGTCACTAAGAAATGTAATATGACAGGAGAAAAATAGTTATGTTTAGTGTACAGTCACAATAGGCAACAACTTTGATGCAAGAACACTTGGTTAATGAGCTTGATTAGTAACTGGTAATATAATGTACGACAGTGTGATCAATCATTATTTCAGCGGTAGAAAATGGTTGCAGCAGCGATAAAACAGCAACAACAGCAGCGGCAGTGAACCGAAGCAGTCACGAGTTTTCTGTTGACGCCGCCGAATTTGTTCCTTCTTGGAAAGTTTCGACATTAAACGAAGTTAATACTGTTGCTTCGGGGTAGGTGAACTACAGGCTTTTGCAAAAATTGAATTATTCGTGAATATAAGACGAAATGAAAGAATGTGAGGATTTTTACAGATCATTTGGTTCGCTACCATTATGTCCTTATTTCGAAACCGGAGAATGTGACAAAGGTGATAAGTGCCAGTTCGTGCATGGTGATGTGTGCGATCTTTGTAATGTTCCATGCTTGCATCCAATGGATACAGAACAGCGCGCACAACATCGACGGGAATGTATAGACGCTCATGAAGCTGCCATGAAAGAAGCGTTTGCTGAAGCACGTTCAGCTGATAAAGTGTGTGGTATATGTATGGAAAACATTAGGCAAGTATCTTTTGCGAAATAGTTCTTTGATTGAAAGTGAAGGAGGAGGGACCTTGTTATTTTTAGGAAAAAATGCGATCAATTTTTATTATCATGTGTAAGCACGATAATACGTTCATTTTCAGGGAGATAAAGAGCCGTTTTGGAATCCTAGAAGGCTGCAGACACTGTTTTTGTTTAGACTGTATTCGGAAGTGGCGTCGAAATCAGAATGATCATTTCGAAAAGAAAACAGTTCGCAGTTGTCCTGAATGTCGCACTCATTCGGATTTTGTCATTCCCGGTTTGTGATTCGCACTCTGTTTTTATCATAGTTCTAATGAGGAAACTTTTTTTTAATTTGGTAATGTAAAAAATTNAAAGAGCCGTTTTGGAATCCTAGAAGGCTGCAGACACTGTTTTTGTTTAGACTGTATTCGGAAGTGGCGTCGAAATCAGAATGATCATTTCGAAAAGAAAACAGTTCGCAGTTGTCCTGAATGTCGCACTCATTCGGATTTTGTCATTCCCGGTTTGTGATTTGCACTCTGTTTTTATCATAGTTCTAATGAGGAAACTTTTTTTTAATTTGGTAATGTAAAAAATTATTTTTCTTTAATATAAAACATTGTAGACCAGGGTGTTCAATTGAATATTTTACGACTGGGGTTCAATTGAATATTCTGCGTTTTTTGGAAAAGAAAATTGAGACATATATGTTGCAGCCACATATTGGGTCGAGGATCAAGCAGATAAGGATGATCTGATTGCGAAATTTCGTGAAGATGCAAAACAGAAACAGTGCAAATATGTGAAAAAAGGGTATATCGATGATTGTCCATTTGGCAATAAGTGTTTCTACAAACATGAACTGCCAGATGGTACCATCGTGGAAGGCGATAGCCCACGAACTCTTCGAAGGTTCCTTCACGAAAAGTTACTTTCGATTTATTGTTTCGATGGATGTTTATGAAAAGATAATAATTTATAACGTTTTGCAGACGAAGACGTCCGTTATATTCCGAAGTATGGTCATTTTCTGATTCAGACTCGGAAGATGATTTTTCAAGAATTGCGCAAGGCATTATCAGCCGATCATTCAGTCTTGTTTAGAATCTTTCTGGAATGTTCCCGCCACTCACACATTGTACTTTTTTTTTGGTAGTGCTGGACATTATTGTTTTTTCAACATCTGTAAATAGGAAGCGGGCGCTGAAATTTGTCAAATTCAAGAAAGTATTGTTCGTTGTCATGAAGTTTCTATTTAATTCGTTGGATAAGCTATTTGAAATAGTTGAAGACGCTTTTTAGTAGGATTGCAATACATCATCATTCAGTGTAGACATTGTTCACATAACAGAATAACCGTGTCTTCGTATCATAGATTAGGAGGATGGAGCTTACTAGATCTAGTAAAACACAGGTGTGTAGAAGTGATGAATTTTGAATGTCACTGGAAGCTCGGTATGCGGGTATCTTTCATGCGATATTTCAGTCGCTAATATCATTTGGGCTTTCATGACAATGCCCTAGGCTTTACTTTAATCTCATTATATGCCCAGCAGAACACTTCAAGTCTCTGTCTTTCTTCATTATTTGTTTTCGGTCCCAATTTTCTACCCGTTAGCTTCACCGACATCTATGCACTAATTTATGAACGACTATCATTTGTTGTTACAAAGATTTGCAATATATCCTGCAAGCGGACTTTACTTTCCTCCTGATCTTGATATTTATCACGCCATATTTAACAAAGCTATATTTTCTGGATGGTAATAAACTGACAAGTTCCACATCCTTTGTTTTCTCGCCAGTTTATGCTGTTATGTTTTCGTCAAAATGATGGTTGAGTACGACACTGCCTGGTTTGTCTCACGACATGGATGATATTATAAAGACTTGCATTATTCAGCATCTTCTTGACAATGTTGATTGAGATCACACTTCTTGGCTTAGTAAACATAACCGCTCACTTCATTTCCGTTACCACGCCATTTATCTGAATGTAGGTGACCGCATGCATGCAAGCAATTTTCACTATGGCGAATTTTGCGGCGACATCCATTTTCAGATTTATTTATTTCTTTCATAAAGACCTTATAGTATCTCATATGATAACTGAACGTCCCTGAAATTGTTCATACTACATCTTCATTTTATGAAGTACCATCTTACAACTGATGAAAAGCTGAAGTGACAGAGAAGATTCAGCTCATCTCACTCCTGTATTGGTAAGCGAACTGAAGGAATGAAAAGAGTGATTTAACCTGAACAAATCGTGTTCACTTCTTGCATCGAATTAATGTAATATTTATTCACCGATTCATAACAAGTCCCGATTATATGCCCAATACGACAAAACCATTTGGTCATTAATGGCTGCAGCAAAATCACATCAACTGAGTTATTGCATCGGTTTGGCATGCGAGTGACGCGCATGCAATAATTTTTTACAACTGCTCATCTATTCCCTTTAATTTGAATAATGAATTTCGAATATATCGGAATTTGGAATAAGAAACAGGACACAGAAGAACCGGTATACAAGGAGCACACCATTTCTTATCGCCCACTCTTGGCCTCAAGTACCCTCCACAACCAATCACCAGCCAGATCCCCAGAATGCGTTGCACTGTTCGAAGTTTACGAATGCAACACACGTACGGGAGTGTTCAGCACGTCCGATAGGCTACTGCGGTGGCGTTCATGTGTTGTGAGTACAAATCGTGCGTAACTGTGGGATATTAAGTATTTAAAATTTAGGAGATGAAGAGTTACTGAGGAAGACGAGGAAGAAGTCACGTACGCGTGTATGCGTGTGTCGTGATGTGGAACAGCGGTATTTTTTGACAAATGGTTAATTAAACAAATTTTCACATTTTCCAGAATGAAGGCAGTGTAGAACAGTGCGAGGAGAGAATAACGAGCCTGATGATTTCTGATTTTTGTTGTATATTCCGGTAACCTGATGGTAGTTGCTGCACGCAATTACTTGTCTATCGTATCTGAAACTGATAGTGATTCTCCGCCCACCAATGGTTTGTTTATGTCCACAGTCGTAATTCTGTGCCCGATACAATGCTGATACCATAAATGGGCTATTCGTGTGATCTTCCCCTCAATGGCGGTAATAAACATATTGCTTGGGAAGGGACTTGGTTTCTCAGTGCACATTGGTAAGAGAACAGGTTTATTTCAAACAAATTATTGCGTTGAAATATCTTCATTTTCTAACGATGTTCTGTGTATCCTAGATTAAAGAGGGTTTGAGTTGTATAATTTCCCGAGAAAATAACCCCCTATTGCATACAATTTTCGTCACAGCAACAGTTCAATCCATGTATGTAATCTGGGTGGATATCAAGTTTTTTATATTGGGACCTTTGTTGAAATCAAGTCGAAGGTTTATTCTTCGATAATTTTCAGTGACGACAAATGTGTTTGTTCATTTTGTGGATGCAAACGATAAAGCGATGTGCACCGAAGCTATGTCTGTGGGCAGACAGGTCTTTCACTTTCGCTTAATCTTATTAGCGGATCCATTTCACTAGCGGACCACTCAGGCTGCTTACTCTTACGCATCAGTGGTTAGTTACCTAGGGCGGCATTCGAACACTGTATATTCAGTTGATGAGTGCAACTAACTAATGTTTTCATGGTTGATATCTAAATTTAAAACTTTTTCTGGATTCGGCCCACTATTAGTCAAGCTATCTTCAGAAGAAAAATGTTTATACATCCTATTGATCGTTAATTCTTAATTTTTTTTAAAGAAGTGGTAGATAGATTTATCAAATTGTACGATATCCTTTGTATTCTTACAGATTAAGAAATCCTCAATTTCGCAGATGGTAATGGTACAGATGCTAAAAAATGGTATGCAGCCAGTGCAGAAGAGTGCCATCGATTTCTTTTTTTTGCAAATACTGGGCGAAGGTTGTTTTTCTACGGTAAGGTTTATACGAAGCGAATGCACTTCGTGCAGTGTCTTGTATGTTACGACTATTTTGAGCTTATAGGTGTATCGTGCTCGTGAAGTATCTAGTGGAAAGGAATTTGCTCTGAAAGTGCTCAACAAAGATTTAATTCGGCGACATGATAAGGTATTTATTTGGAATTTCTCACCGAAGAAAACTGAACGAACTGAAGTTTGCTGTAAAATATTGAGTGAATGATATAAATTTTGTGTAAACATCAAAAATAGTTGAATTATTATTTCAAGGTAGTATCAGTTATGCGTGAGAAAGACATAATGACTTCGTTGACTTATTTGCACGGCGGACATCCATATTTCGTATCCTTATATTGTACTTTCCAGGATCCCACTCGTCTTTGTAAGTTTTTGCAATATCTGCTGTTTACTCCTTGTTACTTGTAGATTCGAATTTTTCAAAAACATGAGATCATTTGTAGACTTTGCTATGACCTATGCAAAAAATGGTGATTTGTTAACATACTTGCATCGTCTTGGTTCTTTCGATGAAGATGTGAGTTGCTATTTTTTTTTTTTGTTTTCTGTTTATATTTAAGTCCGATGTATATGTAAATTATAGCGTGAATTCGCAGTACATTGCGATTATAGCGTAAATTCACCGTACATTGAGATCTGCAGTTACAGGAGCATAAGCATTTCCTTGATTTATAATTTTACAGGTGACTTTGTTTTATTCGGCTGAACTTGTATGTGCGATAGATGTGCTCCATAAATGTGGCATCATTCACAGGGACTTGAAACCAGAAAATATTTTGCTTGGAGAAAATTGGCATATAATGTTGTCTGATTTTGGCACAGCGAAATTTATTGATACAGAAAAAAGTAAATTAAACGTCAGTTACGTGTTGAATGTAAAGCTAGTTAACGAAATTTTTTCACTGGTTTTGATATTACAGATGAAACAGATACGAAAAGTGCTCTTCAGGAAGAACACTGTCGTAGTCGATCAACATTCGTTGGTACTGCTCAGTATCTTTCACCAGAAGTACTGGTGGATGGAGAAGTAGGCCCATCGTTAGTTTCATTGTGTTTGAAATAATTCATTTAAAGCATTATGATCCTCAGTTTTTATTTTTTCCAGATGTGATTACTGGGCTTTGGGTGCAATAATTTTTCAAATGGTCTCTGGATTGCCACCATTTCGAGCTATTAATGATTACCATACTTTCCAAAAGATTCAGAAGCTAGACTATAGTTTTCCTGAAGGTTTTCCTGACCTTTCCAAAGATCTCGTTCGAAAATTCTTGGTACGTTTTAACAGTCACATCAGGTTTCTCTAATTCATGAATTACTGTTTTCTGTCTTTCGGTGAGCATTGTCACATTAATCATTCCGTTTTTCAGGTGTTCGATCCTAATAAACGTCTTGGTTCTGAAGAGACAGGCGGCAGTGAGGCTGTTCGTTCGCACCCATACTTTGCCACGGTTGATTGGAATAATTTGATCACAAAAACACCACCGCCTTTTAAACCGTACTTACCTGCCAGTTGTGGAGAACCAGCCTTTCATAGTGATTACCATTTTCCAGATGATATAGAACCCGGTCTTGATGATGCAGCAGTAACCCGCTTGCTAGGCCTTTCTTTAAAAGATTTCTGTTCTTCTAGGTTTGTTTTTTATTAACGGAGAGATGTTGAATTTCATGAATTATCAAAAACATAATTTCAGCAGAAATAAAGATAATTTGGGAACAGATGAACCAGAGTCGACTGGACTGCGTGAAAAACAGCTGAATATTCAGCGGAAAGAACATAAATATCATCGTTTTGTCGAGGGCAATTTGATCATTAAAAGTGGTTTATTGGATAAAAAGAAGGTCAGCCTTCGTTGCATGTCAATTAATTATGCAGTTTTCATATTTTGGAAGAGAAGAAATGAGAGGGTTTCTGGATCTGTTGCATATATCTCTCCGTTTTATCTATATGGATACATTTCATCAATTTCGTATGTTTTATATTTAATATATCCAGGTATCGATAACATAGTTTAGGGATTGTTCGCAAGAAGAAGAATGTTTTTACTGACAGAAGGACCACATATATTTTATGTGGATCCCATAAGTATGGAGCTAAAAGGCAAAATACCGTTCTGTCGGAAGTTACGAGTTGAAGCGAAAAATTTCCGAACTTTCTTCGTGCATACGGTTTGTCATTTTTACTTTTTTTTAGCAAAGAAGAAAATAGTCATAATTATTAGTTTAGGAACAAGTATCAGAAGTTTCAACATTTCGATTCGTAATATTTTCAGCCGAGCCGTACTTATTATTTATTTGATCCGGAACGAAATGCACTGGAATGGTGCAAAGCAATAGAAGCTTTGCGTGAACAGTATCTGAATGAGTTACCGGAGGAGCCGGATCCCCTGGAAAACAAAAATACTAAGCGGCGACGATAATGATGCCAATGTCAGGTGCATGTCAGCCACTTTACGCTACCTTTTTAGAAGATAGTATTTCCAAATTTATATGGTTCGGAATGAGTGATTTACATTACGTGGAATTCAGATATATATAAAGAATTTGTGCGGATTATCAACGATTATAGAGGGCTAGCATAAATATATGTTTACGTAGCGCACATTCAAATGATTAAGTTACAAACTCTGCAGTTACACATAGAGAAGCGGAGAAAGAGGCGTTCTGCATCGAATTGTGATAAGTATTTTTTACTTGTACTCCCGGTGTTGTTTACTGTCATATTATCCGATTACCTGTGGAATCCGGCGGGAAACTTTTTTTGCATGCCTGTGTTCTTGTCTTTCAACAGATACTTGTTATTTGTACTACAAGATTCTTCGTGATCTTATTGGTGCTGCAATAAAGCACTGATATTTATTGATGTCTTTGAATAAGAATACTTTTTCCTGGCATGTCTCTTTGTTTCGTTTTTCTTTTTTTTAAACAGTGTTACGTATAAATATTAATATACAGCAAATGGCTGCTTAACAAGCATATGTAGGTCTATCATTTATAAATAAATCGAGCATTGTTTACCATATCTTGTTTCCAGGGCTTTCGGAATATTACGCTACTGAATTCACCTCATCTCATCCGACTGTTCCCTCGTGGTTGGCGTCATCTATCGTAAGATTTCCTGTCCAGCAGTACATTGGATAGTTTTAAGAACGTCGAAGTATCTCTAACATTGATCGATGGCTAATATATAAAACTCCAAAAAAAAAAAAAGAGAACAGAAATAACGAATATAGTCGCTTTACGGTTAACCTCTTGGAATAAATGATTCAATCACGGCAGTACGAATGGTGATGGCTGAGAAATAGGGGTGATGAACATAATTGCTTGGTTTCTGTATTCTTTTCGCTATATATGACAGTCTTGCCGAAAGGAGTTTGTCATTGATACATTTCGTTGAACCACTAGTGGTGGATATGTCCTGCAATATCTTGATACATTCAGTTATTGCCACTTCCGCTCCTGTGAAGTTTTGAATTGGCTTTCACAATACTTTTCCACATGAATGAAGATTCAGCGTCCATTTCATATTTAAGAGCCAATGTCTCAGCCGACCCAAGCTAACGTAGTCGTCTAGCGGCACTTTGTAGATGTTGATCAGAATCTTAAAGGTATTGGAACTAAGCAAGCTACGTTTTGCTTTGTAAAAAGATATATTCGCAATAAATAACACTGTACTGTTCGCTAAGCAAAAGCAATCTGAGTAAATTCGGATCTAAAATTCAGATTTAAAATTTTAACTTTCTGCGAAATCACTCATTCGGAAATGTGGAGGATTTATTTAGTTCGTTTGATCTTTAAAAGGAATTCAGAGTAGATGTTTCTCTACAAATTGACATCATGTGGAAGTTACAATGATTAATTGCAACTCTAAAACACGCTATGAAAATGTCACAAAGGTGGGAAGGTACACAAGTTATGTTGGTCAAATCGAGAGAAAAATTAAGAATATTCGGAAGTAACGAATTGATGCTGATGAATGGAATTATAAATAATGCCTTAGATTTTTACACGTAGGCCATTCACCAATTTATGTCCTTGTTTCGGCCTTAAATGTAAAGCAGTATATTGATAGAAGCTCAAAAAAGTTTCGTTCATCTGTGGAAGACAAAAATCAGTGAAGCTGTCCAAAAAACCTCAAAAAAATCACATTTTCATCTAACATACTATGATCCATTGTTGAAGTGCATTGAATTACTTTCGTCGACTAGTGTAAGATAGAATAATGGTCGCATTCGCTGACGAACTAATAGGCGGTAGCATACTTATTCAGTTAGTGGAAAGATAGAACAGATTACTAAAAGCCATCTTTTAATTCCAGCTTTAATAAAGATAAGATTGTTGTCAACCAAGGTCAGTTGATTGTATTTGAGATCTGCGTACTGGTTGCTTTAGATAATCGCAACAAAAAAATGAGTTATGCAGAACAGCTCGTCGTAGCAGGTAATCTCATTTGCATTAGATTGCTTTTAGTTCAACGAAAAGTTGTTCTTGTGACAACAAGAGCGTCGGTGTAAGTTCTGAATAAATTCATCTACTGCCGTTTCTTGTCTACTAATGAAGAGATTGTAGGCGAAATTTTGAGCGACCATTAGGGCTCATTTTTTTCTTAGTAAATAAAAATAATTTTGTATAACCCATTATTAGATAAAAGTAAGGCAATAGCTACATTTAACAGGATGAAAAATTTTTATAAAATGCTTCATTTCCTTGTAGTATTCTCCGTGCGTTCGAAAAATTCAACTCAAAGAACGAGATTTCGTAAATGCGAAACACTGAAGTCTCGTATAGCAAAGTGATTTGTACAAAATGATCCGTGAAAGTTTCTTAGCAAAGAAAAATTAAGAGAAAATGTTCAAAACTACTTTCCTCCTTCACTTCCATAATTGGACTCTCTTTAGCAAAATTATGTTAATGAGCCAAGCATATGGTTTAAATTATTCTTGAAAGTGTATAAAGTTTCACAGCAGAAAACATAACATGCAGTCCAATACTTTCCAATTTTTTCGGTAAGCGGAGAAAGTTAGAAAATTACTCCTTGAAGTAACACTAATTTCAAAAAGTAATTGCAGTTAATATTTTTTATTGAATATCATTTGAAATAGTATCCGCAGCTTTCTTCCAAGTGTTCTTGTCATCAAGTTTTTATTTTTATAATGCTGGTGTGATAACATTTCAGTATTACAGTAAAAAGGTGATTATGGTCTCATTTACAGATATTAGATCCAGGGCGAATAAAAAATCCGATACTATTAAATTACATAATTTCATCAGGCCTCTCGGCTGGTCTTAGATTTACACTGTTCTCAATAATTAGATTCAATAATAATCAGTGCTCATTGCTGCCAATAGGAATGCTTTTTGGTGAAGAACTGAAGTACCAAAAATTGACTATAAACAAATAAAGATTCAAATTGATATTAAACAAAAATTTGCATAAAAATTAATGCACAGGCTTAACAACTCTGTAATGGCATGTGCACTATTCCCTATAAATAAATTTGTTTCAGCGAAAACTTTGTTCAACCACCACTTTGAATACGATATAATAAAGAAAGCTGATCTTTGCTTTTGAACACTCCTGTTTCTGTAATAATTCTTCTAACTATATTGTAATCTTACCACTTAAAACAATTCCGAATTGCACTGCTTGAAGCCTTGAATTATATTGAATTCAGTAGCAATAGTTTGACGAATTCCAAGCGATTTCACTCACTTTTAGATTAGAGCCAAACTAATTCAGCCATCACTAAAATCAGAACACGAAGGATTGAGCTTTAATGATAGCTTAACACTGATTCTAATTCTCAGAGTTTTCAATTTACACCTGCTTAACACCTATGTCCCTCTCTTCCTCTGTAAAATGTTTTAGTAAAATACAAAAATTTATCCTTTCTTTCCAAATTAACTGATCATTTAAATTTATTTGTTTCGCTCTTCAATTTTATTTTTACTCTTTGCTGACAGTTTGCTCCAACAACCTCAGAAGTAAAAAGTACAAATGTGGTCATAACTTATTTGCTTTATGTACAATTAAATTTCAATTTATTGTTTAGAGTTTACTCTATGATGATAATGACAAGGTTCTGTTTATTGATATTATTTTATCAAAGAATTTTCAGGAGGGAGGAAATCGTTATTTAGCTCATTATTGAGATGATAACGTGTTGCACGCGAAAAAGCCTAATTGAATAATGTCCATGGCGTAGTGTCTTGTGAAAATTATTATTTCAGTTGTATGGAGTAGCAACAGTCAGTGGAGATCAATAATTTTATAGAAATTCATCAAAAGTAAGGAGGTACAGCTATTTTATGAAAGAATTTTCATCAACTATTTTTAGTGTTACTTTCAATGTTCTCTCAGCTGCTCAAAAACTGTTTGAATTTAACTAACAGACAGAATATATTGTACGATGACTAAAAAAAGTCACCTTTGGCTAATGGCATGATTCTGCTTAAGAGGGCAACCTCTTAATCAGAATATCGCTACTTCATTCGTCATGAATCCTTCTATACCTGTTTAGGGGGTTATATTATCCATACCTCCTCTTTTCGACTCTTTGTTCGCGGGTTACAGAGCTGCTAGAACTCCAGTCTTATCGAAGAGATAAGATTGCTTAAAAGGAAAACTTTTACTCATATTCTTGTTGAACTCCGCTCTTCAACATTCTCTTTCCTCAGGACAAGACTGAGATTGCAGAGATGCTGTAATATGGATCAAATATACAACTTGGATTAAGAAGACGAAGTAAAGTTAACTTACTACCTCTTTCTTTTAGAAATACTGAAGCCTAATCATTCTGTCTATCATTCTTCGCAATCGTGCAGCTTTCCACCAGTACTAGTTTGGAAGGAATGTGAGACTGATTTTACTGGAATTCACTCTCTTTCCCGTTGCACTACAAACAATAATTTCATGCAGTAAGACAAACTGAGGTTGACAACTTCAAAAGAACAGAAATATGATATATATAGTGGTGTCTAGTTTGCACCCAGAATCGAATAATGCAAACTTGGAATTCAAGGGCTAGAAATTCCGTAATGACGCTTGGAAAGAACAAATCAGAAAAAATTTCGTCACATGAAATCTCGGTTGATGTTCAACGGAAATTAATTAATGATTTAAGCCACCTTCAAAACTTCACTGAGCATTTCAGCGTTTCATTATTGAGCGTTTCATTATTTATAATAGATTGGTTGTATTATTTTTTTTTATTGCTTACGCATAATAAATCCACCATGATCTAGTGGGATAGCTTCTAAGCTTAATATAAATGATAAAACTGATTTACTTTGTCGACCTCACTCACCGCTATATACATTCATTTACACATGTTGAGTATGAACCTCAATCTCGTTACTTCCACTTTCAGTGCAACTACGCTTTTATAGCAAATTAAAGCTAAAATAGAAAAAAGTTGATGTAATTTCTTCGAATTCACTGGCGGAAAATGTTTTAGTTCCAAGCCAGTGCTAACCTAAACAATTTCATTTATTTCAAAATGGTGTCTCTCTTGCTCGATACATTCACTCCAGTTTGTGACGATTGCAGAATTTAATAGCGATTTTTTCCTATGGAGGACAAATGGGCTAAGATATTTTGACGCACAGACGCATATCAGACATCTAGTTGCAATAACAATTACTGCATATAACTATATGCAATCAAAACGATGGTGGTGTGTTAAAGCTATCATAAGTTATCCTCAGGGCAAAAGTTTTGCAAAAATCAAAGTGAGAGGAACGAAGTGCCATTGGAAAGATATCAGATACTCTCCTTCGATCCTTCAATAAATTAAATGTACTGATTACAGCGAGAATGTGCAGAACTGATCTGCAATATGCCAATATCTAAAAAGGTAACGAAAAAACACCTTCTTTGCATCAAACAATAAATGAGATCAAACATAAGCAACCTAGAGATATCCTGTTGTACTGTTGGACAACAGCGCATTATTGCAGATGCAAATATTTATTTATTCAGACTGTGCAACAACATAGAAAGAAAGAGATCAATGATAATCATGCATGAATTTTAGCAGGATTATGCATATTAGAAACATATTCTCCTTTTTCTTCTGAGGAAAATAATTCCAATATATAGACGCAATTTGTGCTAAATGGCTACCATTTTACATACTGCATCAGCAACTACTACTGAAGCACAGTTAATTCAGGATAACATGAAGTAAGCCATTTTGCAAAAAATTCCTATCTGTCCCCATGAGGTACTTCTCACCACTACCAACAACGACTATGTGTATATTCACTTGTTTCACCAATTTCTCCTTGCTCTGACATTATATTAACTTACTAAAAATATGACCAGAGGTCTTTTATTGTTGTTCGCATCTGCGGGTGAAAGCTATTCAAGCAATCTATTCGCAAAACAATTCCTCAGACACCTTAAATATGAGAAGACCACTTATCTTTTCACACTTTTCTAAGATTTAAATTTGGTTAAAATGGTCCAAATGACAATTTAAAAGCTGGTTCTCGCGAACCAATCATTTTACCTAGGCAATATTGGCTAGCAATGCATTGCCCCATGCCAATTCCGCAAATTCACAATAACAGCGTCGTTCTAACTTCAAACAACAATTGAGTTGGACCCAACAGTGGTTCACCTTGGCTGTTTTTCACTTCCTGTTAATTGCCCTATTTGTGTTGAAGGGTCTCAATAACTCACTCATTACCAGCCTAGTTTATTTCTGCAATCTCCAGAATCACCCCGCTTTCACAAATTCATATCCCAGCATTTGTGCCAAAAATGCATGCCTTGCTCCTATTAAAAACGGCACACATTAAGAATGCCTAGTATGTATTTATCTTTTAAGGGACATATTCCATAGAAGAGACTATTCTTTCTAAAGCATATCTTACTCTCCAAAATTCTTCTCAGACAATTTTAGAAGACATTAACAATGCAAAAATAAATTGATTATGCGAAAAACGTTTGCTAGTTCTGGTTGAATGAACTTTCCTGGATACAGCCAGCTATCCAACTGGCGCAGTTGCATCAAATATTAGAAACTCTGTTCCACTGGACTGCTGCCTCCAGAAGTCAGTATCCTGCCTGACTCTATTCCACAAATTGCCTACTAGTTATCCGTGTGCTACTATTCTTGCCATGTAACCATGAAAACATTCCGCTTAAGGACCTTTTACCAACTGTAATTCTCTAATGATATCCAAGCCAAGTATAAGGTTATTCTATTTACTCTATTCAAAAATTGCTTCATGCAAGAAGCACTGGTTTAATTTCAATTAAATCAGACAACTATCCGACGTATCCATCCATCCATTCCTTTCGCTCTTTTTCAAATTGCTTTTTTGTCAGTAGAAATTCTACAAAATCCATCTACAATTCTATAAAGCAGGTGCCTTGCTATCAGAAGATCTGTAGTCTTTCTCATACCAATAAGTTGCCAGTTTTTCGTCCCTTCGTTTCAACAGTTATGCGCAATCGGTGTTACTGAACAAATCAAATTTAGCAGAGAACCAGCAATGGCCCGTAACAGACATACCGATGATATTCTGAATGTCAATGTTGGCGGTAAACGTTATACAGTTCGGCGGACCGATCTACTGGCAGATCCGAAAAGTAAACTAGCAGAATGGTTCAAACCTGGTACTGTCAAACAAATTTCTACTGACAAAGGAGGTTGGCATACATAAACTTGAAATTGATAATACCGTTAAATTGAACGTTGCATTAACGAAGTGTGTGAAACTCTCGAGCAAGAGGAGTAATGTATATGCTAATGTACTAATCAAAATCCAGAATTTCAGGCAATTATTATCTGGATCGTGATCCAAAATCTTTTCGACATATCCTTGCATATCTTCGACTAAAGAAAGAAAAATTTGTTCTATCACTGGCATTACCTGCAAAGCCGGATGATTTGGCAAAGTATGTCGATAGAACTGTTGCCTGATAGTAAATTATAAGCCTAATGTCTTGAAAAAGTAGCATTCATTAATTTAAGCCAAGATTTCATTTATTATCAAAGAGTTGCCAATTTATCGGGAGTGTCTTTGAGTGAGGTCAACCATCAATTTCATTTTTTACAGGAAATTACCAAAATTTTGCATATTTAGGTTGGTTGCTGAATGTGAAGCACTGAATATGATTGAGCTAAAAAATTTAGCACTTAATGTTTTACAAAAATACCAGCGTACGGAGGAACAGCACTATGTGACAAGTTATGTACAAATTGCTCTTCGCGATTACGAAACATGGCAGTTTGATCATGAAGAGGTGATTTTATTTACCTGATAAGTTATTTACAAAACCGGTCGAGCAGAAGCATATGGCTACAAATTTGCATATGGCTATTTGGCTATTTGGTGATTGCAGCGATGTCGCGGTAGAATGATATATGTTACTGAAGTTTAAATGATTTGTTGTTTAATAACCCTTGCAGAATTACAGAGTACCACAAACAAGAAAGGTAAAGGAGGAAGCGCGGAGATAACATCGGCAGTTACGTCAGCTTACGATGAATGGGACAATATGTGAACAGTGCGCACTCAATTCGTAATATCCGAAAAATATTCTTTCATTGCTTATATCTTTGAAGTAATAGAGATTGCACATCAGATTATGATTCAGATCTTTACTTCTTCATCTATCTCCGCTCAAACATAACACTGGTTTGGGAATACAAAGGCTTACTACTTTATAAAGTTTCTTTTTTCTTTTTTATATACTTCTCCAATGACTAATGGCCGAAATTCTATTGACTTTCGCAGTAGCACGCAATAATTCACGCTACCAAAACACAATTCGTACTGTATCGACTGTCATTAAAATCTGTCCTTTAGTAAAACCTCCAATTGTTCGAAATTCAAACAGAAATTTAAATATATTTTCCATTTAAAAGACACTGCGTCATCTCTTCATCCGAATGATTCATGCGCATTGAAGATTGGTATCGTTGAGCATCTCACTTATTACATATGACCTGCAATATTGAAGGTTACAATCGTGTAATAACTTTATGAAAAAACCTCAAAATAGTCAGTTGAGTTGTCGGTTATTTAGAGATTCTCGAATGGCAAACACTTCAACATTAACTTAAAAGGTCACTGTTTTCAACTAATGATAATTAAATAGTAATGAATGTTTCCGGCACAATGAAGTGAAAGAAATATGATGCAACTGAAATAAATCATTTATTACGCTCTCTTAATCATTTATCGCGTCCGAAAACCACTGGAAGAACTAAATCCGAAGAACTGATGTTATACATTTATTTTCCTTTTGCACTACTCTCAGAGAAATAATATTTAAAAGTTAAGCTTAGGTTAGGCTTTAAATGTAGCAGGACAACTCGTTGGGATTATTCGTCGCAGTTAGAATGGAATCACACCGATGAATTATCGACACAAGCTCAAATCATATCAGATTTCTTCAATTATAAGCTGTATATTAGATAACACTCCGAAGTCACAAGTATTTGTCACTGCTAATACCAATATATCATCACATCCCTTAACCGTAGTGATAAATTGATTGAACCTTTGAATTAAATATTTAAACTGATTGAATCTTGTTGCAGCTGCCTATTATAGATATTTCAAGCGAATGTTTTTCATCGCATTATATACATATCAAATATAGTGTATATCTCAAAATTTCGCATACTTCATGTTTTATTACATTTCAGTTAAATTTTCAAATGTAGGATATAGCTCCTTAAGGATTTCATCAAAGTAATTTAAAAAAGTAATATTTTTCTGCTACTGTAAAGTGCAAAATCAATGCGCTCCACTGATCGTTGACCATCAAAACCATTTCAGGTATTGAATGGAATGTTGCAGAGAGTATGATTAAACCGGAAAATAGCGTTAAAATACTGATGAAAAGTTACGAAATAAATGTGCTATTCTAATTGCAAAACTTTCAAACGTCACGTGAATCAGTTGCCGAGCTCAAACTGTCGCACTTATAAACTTTCAGTTTTCTAAATCATCATTGACGTCACATTCTTTTGCCTCTTAGGCGTTTTTGAATTGTTGCCACCTCTGTCTTACAGCGATTAAATAATGTTTCTTCGAAATGTTTATGTAATTCAAAAAGAGATGTTCCAATGAAATTATGATGCAATATTTCTTTTACATTATAAACTTTCACACTTATACTTCCAAGTTAATGCCCCATCTCAAGCCAATCTTCGAGAGACTTATCGGAGATTCCAGTTCTTTTGACACAATTTCGTCTTTAATACTATTATTATTAATGATTTCATTAATGAAAATGCGAAATTTTCCTTTTAAATAACTGCATTTGCAATTTTATTGAAGATTCAGGTGGTTACTAAAATGATCTTAGCTAACTTCTCTCGACATTTTTTTGCTGTTACTTCATCTCAGGTTTTCCTAATCAAGAAACCATCAGTTTGACTTTCTTATCGTCTCGCGTATCCAGCTACGCAACAATTAAATTTGCTTATCATCCAGAGCTATCCTGAGAGTTTGAGATCCCACAGGTGCTCGATCATTAGCTTCCGTTCCTATCATTTCCAAATTATTATGATCAACTAGAACCAGCAATCACAGAGCTTGGCACCTAGTGAAATACTTTTACGTGATTTGTCTGTTTCCCTGTTTACCATTGCGACGATTAATGCGAATGTTGTTGTAAGTTTTACTTCTCCACACTGCCTCCAGCAACCTCTTGTATCCAAATATGTCCCATTGCTAGTAGCATTCCTGAGATCTTACCACTATACGTACTAATACTTTTCATGCCACGTATCAGAAAGTGGAGCACAATGGACTTCTACATTTTGGTATCGAAGAGATAATAGATGTATTAGATATTTAAATCAATAGTTGATGAAATCATTCGAGAACAGTTCGAACCAGAAATTGCTATTGTCATCGTTAAGTGCTTGTCAAATACACCAGACGTATGCGACATTTATATAGCCACCCCCCTGACATTACTTCTAGCTAAAAGACGATTTCCTCTGAATATTGATTTTTTCTTTGCTCTTTAAAGACAAAAGTTACTCATTCCAAGAAGTAAAACAAATCCATTCATCTTCTTGATTCTTCATCCTCACAGACTACTGTAAGATGGGAACAGTCTAGATGGAAACAGCTACTGTGATACGTGTGTAGCCGATCATTTTCTAAGCAATATTCATTCTCGTTATTCTCTAATCCCCAGAATCTGATTCACCCAGTAACCTTAGATACTATCCGAATGATACTCACTCATTTTAGGTTTAGGACATTTTAAACTGTTACTTCTGAATCCCACTGAACCATACCGGAAAAAGGAGAGCAAAATCAAAGCTGTGCATTCATCATTAACTATCTATTCCAAGTTACAACGAGGTTTTCAGAGTCAGCTGATAAACTCCCACATGAGTAGTTCCCGTTCTCAAATATGCAACACAGGGGGTAATGTTGTACTGTGCAACTACACTGGTGTCAATGTCGAATATTGTGAGTGTGTCTGGGGAATTATTCTTGTTGAAGCTACTGGCCGT